TTTCCATAAAAACGTTATTTTTCGTTTATCACCATTTTTTTTTCATATTTCAATAATCAAACTTCCAAATTACTTCGATTTATGTCAAAATATACAATATACCCTGTTCGCCATAACAACGTGCCCGGCACTCGGTCCTCGTACGGATTTGCATATACCAACTACTAAAATGACCTATATTAGATAATTATCCAATAGAATCAATAGAGTCAATTATTACCGTACATTTCCTCATCGTACTTACAATGAACGTCAAAGTGTACGTAAATGTAGTATAGATCAAATATTTCAAAAAAAAAAAAAAAAAATTTATTACAGCGAAAACAGTACGCGAAGTTTGTGAAATTCATGGATTTTAATATTCGTTAATCTACACTTAGCTAATAGCTGATCCGCTAATTACGCTTAGAACGTGAGCATTTTCGGAATCTTCACGTGTTTTCGAATAGTTGTACGAATTCGTATGTACAATTTATAGGCTACACATGTGACAGCGTATATTAATGTATGATAATCGTATGTGAAAAATTATATATATATATATATATATATATATATATATATGTTGCATCGGTCATCAAAAATAATTAATACCAGTATGTTACCATGTAAAGTTATATAGTCCTAGGTCAGTACTACGTTGCGTATGATCAGAATATTTTCAATTACTCGTGCATACAAACCAGTAGCTGCATTAGTAATTTTCCGCTGCACCCTATGAATAAGGACTAACCACCCGTGTAACGTTCCATAACCCTTGCGTATCTATTCCCAACGCTGCTAATATATACGTATAGTAAACACGTGCGAATTTACTTTTGCAAATGCAGAAAAGCCACAGTCACGCATCTCGCATATTGAATCAGTCCCAGTGAACTAATCTGATAAAAATGTTAATTTTCACAGCAGCACCTTAACATTTTTTCTCTTACGGTATGCAAGAACGGGGCCGGCTTTCTTTCCTTTTTTTACTTATTTCTTTTTTTTTTCAACAAAATCTCACTATTTCATTTTTCTTTTACACATTTTTGCATCCCACTGGGAGTGTGCATAAGAGATGACGTGCATATGCATAAGCTTGCTGGATTACTTGAGTGGTTTATTAATGATTACATGTACCCCTATGCATTACCATATAACTGGTATATATATATATATATGTATATATGTTTTAGTATGAGTAATTTTGACAATGAAAAAATGAATTTTTTTTTTTTCATATTTAATTACATCCTTTTGGAATTTTTATTAAGAGCGAGTTCGCGTAAAACTACGAGAAGAATTTTTTAAAAATAAAGTAAAAATACTAAACTACATTTTATCATCGTGCGCATCGAGGGTTCCGTGATGGGAATTAACTTTTTTTTTTTTTTTTTGGAATTCACATTAAATATATTTTGTTTTTTTTTCCGCTCCGTCCGTGGATTCTGGATGGTTTCACGATTAAGAAAAAAAAAAAAAAATCGAAACGTGTTCCCCAAAATAAAGAGATCTATAGAATCTTCGTAATTTCCCGCAAAGCAAATTTCGACAGGCTGAATTTGACGTGTGCACTATTTTCAAAATAACTAGCGTGCCCACTGATCTCCGGTGATAAAGAAAAAAAAAACTGTCCCATCTTATTTAACGATCCCACTATATGGTTAATGTCTTCCTGCCGAAACGCATCTGGCCAATCATAACGATTCAAAATAACCATAAGCCACGTTAACAGGCGAATCCATTTTTGAAATTTTCAGCCGACATACAGCGTAACGCGTTGCGATTACGAAGCATCGGGAATGCGTTCGTAAAAATAGCAAAAAAATCTTCTCCCTCGACTCTTCCATTATGACTCCTGCAGAAAAAGTTCTTACAGCTTCGAGCCGAGCAGCCGATATACGGCGGGCAAAAATAAAAAAAAAAAATGTTCGCGACAAACATTCTAACCGACGTCGAAAATAAAATTGCGGATCAGACTTTCCAATTTCAAACCGATCGCACGGGGTTAGTCCTCCGTGTTAATTAGCTCGCCCTAAACCCAGGAGTAATATAGCGCGATAAGTGAGCGTAGGGTTGCCTAAATTTCCCAGATACGGTATTGTAGTACATAGGACATATGTATGTATACAAAGCCAAAGCGAAGTTACAGCCGCGCGCTACGAAATCCGCCGTCGCCCCTGGAAAGTCCGTAGCCGTTAATTGCACGCAAGATTGGCTGTCAAACTTTAAGTAATGACGTCATCGAATCTGACACGACAAACTCGTGCCGCCGATAGCCCAAGTACTTTGAGGCTGATCGTGACGTCACTCCTCCCTACCTGCCGAACCGAAGGCCAGACTTTCTTCCTTCGTTCTTCTCATTTTTCGGCCATTAACCTCGTTCGAGGCAAATTTATATTGTACTTTAACAAAACGTCACCCCGCTCCGACCTCGTTAAGTGGTCAATTACCAACCTGACCTTTCGTATTTGAACAACTACGCCCTGCGTGGCTTGCAATATTTATAAGGGTCTCCCCTGTCACTTGAATTTGTGACTTGAAAGGTTTTCAAAAAAAAAAAAAAAAAAAAAAACTTTCGTTCCCTAAAAAAAAAAAGTGCACGACTTTATAAAAATTTCGATCGTCACGGCGACTCTCGATGTATCCGTACCTCCGATTGGCTGTCGGTGTCGTCACTCGCCAAGCGTAAAGGTACGGTTTGACAAATAGGCCCGACAGCCTTCGAGAATACGTCACTCGACGTTCGTCAATGACGAGGAACGTCGAGATAAGCCGATTCGGATTTGACGATCGAACATTTTAAAGGATATCCAAAAGATACTCGAACCTGACTCTGACTCGAGTGAAGGTCGCAAGTAAGTTATCGATTTCCGAATTTACCCCAAATCGCAATCGACGCCTCGAGATATTCGGCAGGTCCGACAAAACAAAAAACGTTCAGGTCAATTAAATGAAACCCGATAAACTTATCTCGACGAATCGCCAATCCCGTGTAGACGGTGAATCGAATAACGAAAATCGGGATGCTGCGCGAAACTGTCAATCTTCCGGGGTAACGAGTTCACCCAAAACCCACAAAATTACATTTGCCATTCGCGAGTCGACCCCCGTACGCTAAATTTTCGCCGATCAAAAATTACCCCGGCGACTATCGGAGCACGTGACTGCCGTCGATTTTTCTTTATCATTTCATTCGAAAATTCATCCCCCAACCCAAAACCGCCCCCTCGATCCGTACAATTTGGTCTATCCTCCTATCGCGTGTTTCCCAAAATAAATTCTCGGACAGGTATAACAGTAGATAAAAAATTGCCAACGAGAAGGGGGGGAAAAAAGGCGGGGGGTGGGGTGATTATTTCGTTCGATAATTTCATCCCTTAAAATATTAGGGGTTGCTATGCTCATACGGCTAAAGGTAACTATTGTAAAAAAGAAAAACAATCCAGTCTAGATCCACCCTACATTTCTATGAGACTGAATCTTCTCTACAATCCCTGTTATAGATATATATATATATATATATATATATACGCAAGGATAACAACCAATATCCACCTTCGACGATCTGGACCGAATCCTTTTTACACCCTTAAAAATTTATTTCTCTTCCCTTCGTCCCTTTCCATTGTTGTTGCACTTAGCTCCAGGGGTCGAAGTGCGAGTGGATTACAGAGAGATTGCAATGATAACGAAATTATTGGTGCTTTTGATCGATCCGTTCCGATGTCATACCGTTGACTATTCATGATAGCAATCCAGTTGTGACGTTGACGGGCTGGTATGGGGTTTGAGGCGGAGAGGGGAGGCGGGAGGTGAGGGGCTGGGTAAGGGAGGAGAGGGGAGTCTCAGCAACCCACGGAATCCTTCATAGTGTTGGACTTGGAGGCAATTTGATTTGCACGTGTGCGAGGGAAACGAACAGCTCGGGTATTCCCATATGAACTACACCATAGAAATTCCATGGCGTTCAGCGAAGAATTACGTATGGTACGTGCGGTGGATCGTAATTGCATATTTGGATTTTTACGTTTGGGATTTATCGAAATTCGCGAATTAATTGTAACTATATTTGGAAATTTGCCAAATCCACTGGGCCGCGAGCGTTAAACGATTTTTTCGAAAGAAAATGTACGTTCGAACGTTTACTCGGACGAGGTGGGAATGGTGGAGGAAATAAAATTTTGAATATTCTCGGTGCAGCTACGAGCACGTGAGACGGAATGAAAAAAAAATAAATAAACTCCTGTATTCCACGAATACCACTGTGGAATTTGTCCCCCATAACTGGTGCGGTCTTATCGATAAAATATTCGTCATACCGAAGCATATTAATATCGTTAAGATATTTTCGATATGAGACTTCCGTAGATTTTTACTTTAACGAAGGCAGCGTGTCAGATTTTTCTAGGAACGGCGGTTATTGTCACGAGGGTATATCTTCTAACGGTCGCAGATATGGGAATAAGGATCGGGGGGGGCAGGTGGAGTAGCGAAATTTTATGCTTGAAATCAGATATTAATAGGGAGATGCTCTACGGTTTTAGACGATATCAAAATCATGGCGCTTATCATTTTCTTCCGACTGAAGATTTTACTTGGGAATAATTTGGAACGGGACGCCTTATTAGTGGAAGTGTGTTACGTAGTGCGCTCTAGAGGAATTGTTTGGAACTAATTGTAAAACTTCGCAACGTTCAAATTGTCGAATAACTGTAACGCGCTGCAGCCGCCGGTATTTTCCCAGGACTGTTTGACAGCGCCATCTGGCGGAATTCTTTGGAACATGTTGAGCAAAGTTTTATGAGTCTGTAGATCGAGTTAACGACTGAGATGTGAAGGCTACGAATATTTTGAAAGATGGTAGCAACTATTAGAATAATAAGTAAAATAACAGAAGAACAATTACAAACAGGCCGGTGAAACTATAATTTTAGAAATATAGAGAGAGCTTCGGGTTGGCCACTTAGGCAGACGTCTATTGCGAGTAGAAAATAAAGATTAAATAAAGCGGTACTCACCACAGGATCCTCGTCTTCGATGAATTGAGTGTGTCCTCTTCGTATTTTAAATTTTTATTCACGTTCATAATTCACAGGTCCACTCCGTTTTTTTAATCCATTGGAGATCCGCTTGCGCGACCACTTGACGATTCGAGTCGATTATTTTTACATTGGGCGAATTTTCTGATACAGACTAGTTCACTTATTAAGACTAAGATCGACACATGTAGTTTCGCGCGCGATAGACAATAACTCTGATGCGGTTACTTGAACAGATTGTATTACTGTGTTGTTTTTTCGGAAGTGTAGGTAAAGAGTAAAGGGTATAGGAAGAGATTACGTGAAACGGGCTTAAGGCCTGAGGCTGAAAGCTTCAGGAGAAAGATGATGACAATGTAAATAGGGAACAATTGTTACGAACGTTACAATCGACAGAAAACAAAGCCATAAGCCGAAACTCGGGCAGGATAGACGTAATGAACCGCGTTCGTCATCGGAAGCGAATCCCTATTAACTGTCGATCAGCGGGCAAAGTGTTCCTAACGGAAAGTAATTAGAAGTTACTTGCCAAATTTAAATAAACTCATACGCCAAGTGTAATAGCACAAACGAACGCAGATTGACGTGACTGTTTTTCTAAAGTCCAGTAAGGGATGTTGACGACAACCTATGACTCCCCATTGCTCAAATCGTCTTGGCGTATTTATTGCGAAGTTGACAGTGATAAAAAAATGATATCACGAACAAGGTATAGTCTAGCAGAAGAAATAGAGAGAATATGTAACACAAAAAGAGGTCGCGCTAGAGATATAAGTAGATGATTAATTGAATATACCTTAGCGGACAGATGAGAAGAGGATGTGATGAATAAATAATCACAAAAGTGATACAGAGAGAGAGGAGGGAGAGGGGGCGAAAGGAAGAACGGAAGGACGCGGCGTTCAAGAGATCCACACAGGCGATCGGCTCTCGGAAGACCACGGAAGACTGAATTCCGTTTTAAAACTTACATTGTACATTCTTCCGCATACCAGTCAGTACCCCCTCCCAGTGGAGTGCTGATCGGCAAGCGCACCCTCCTACGGCATACTTTAGGATTATAATTTTGAATAAAGAGCATCAACTATGTCTCTGGTATTTGACCCTGGAGGAGATATAAAACTATCAAAACAATAAGATTAATCTTACCGATCGGTGCTTAGCAATGGTCTTCACTTTGGGGCCTTCACTAGTAGGTAATTCTCTTAAATAGGTGATAGTTACATTTTTATTTTCAAAATTTCGTGTTTCCACTATACCAATCTGTTTTATGTACTATATGAACTATTAAAAGTAAAAGATCGAAAGACGAAGGGGTACTACTTGTAAGACCTAAAATAAGTCATAGAATTTCTAGATTTTAATTTATTTCCATCATATTTTTACAACGATCCAGTTTACATGACTTTTGATACGCGTGAACACAAAATGCGGACCGTTTCATTTGGAAACACTCCCTAAATATCGAGCTCGCGTCATGATTGGAAAAAAAAAAACAATAGATTAGAATTAAAATCCTTTGCCGATAAACTCCAATCTATGTACAATAATAATTTTGGAAAAATCAGGCAAAGGATTCTCTTAATGGATTTACGACTTGCTAGAAAAAGACAGAATATCCATTCTTTCAGCTAATTTAAAAAACTAATATGATAAACGTTCAACTATTTTCGTAAATACTGCACATATCGATGTAGATTAATTTTATAAAACACAGAGTATTGGCTTGTCTTCTATCAAAACAAAATTGTGAAAAAGACTCAAAGTTCTTTTCTAAATCACAATTATACAAGTCCATCTAATTTCTTAATATTTCCAAACGTTTCAGCCATTTTCAAACATGATACTTCCGCGTGAAAAATGAATGGATATGAGCAAAGGATGTAATAACTTTACGTTAATTCCAAACGAAAGATCGGAATCTCGCCCCAGCAGTATCTCTATAATTTCGTGCATCAAATGGACCAAAATGGATACTTAAAAGTATTCAAAACTGTCTCATGAATTGAACTGCACTCAGAAAAAAATATGTGCAAGTATCTATCAGTTTCGCAAATTGTCATATTCGAATTAAAAAAAAAAAAATATTATTCAGCGAGTTCAATAGTCTCATGTAAATATGATCGATTGGAAACTTCCCGAGCGTAGTCAATATTTAAGTTAGGTGATCTCGTTTTAGAAACTCGCAGAAACTTGCAAAAGGACAGAAGGATTCAATAACTAATCAGTATTTGTGCTTGTGCCTGTGCTTCCTGGGAGATGGCGAAGGAGGACTATTCGCTCTGTGCTTAGAAGTCGAGGTTCTAGGAGGAGGTGGTGGTGATAGCGATGGGGATCTTGCACGTCGTTTCCTATCACCTCGTTCACTAACGGGTGATCGCCGATTCATTCTTGACGATGAAAATTGTGGCGATGGTGTTCGTCGGATGCGTGGCGGCGATGGAGTTACTGGTGCACGTTTCTTGTACGGCGAACGTGATCGAGGACGCTTGCTACGCGGTGACCTACTTCGAGATCTACGACGAAATATATAAAACCGTACAGTGATTGTTATCAAGTGATCAAGAAATATATTGTTAATGTAATGCTAATTTTAATTTACCTGTATCTACTGCTACTCTTCGATGGCGGGCTTGGTGAGTTTCGCCTCCGATCTCTGTGATGTCCTGGTGATTCCGGTGTTGTGCTGTGCTTCTTCTCTCTTCTTCGATCATCGTCACGATCATCGTTCTTCAGATCTTTTAAATCCCTTTCTGATTGCAGGGCGTACTGTGTGTGAAAATTGTCCTTAGATTAGTTTCTGTATTACTTTGAGCTTTGTTTTCTCACTTACCTTTCTGATAAGCTTTTTTCGATAATGCTCAACTTGACCTTGAATTGTCATTCCAGATTTTAGAGTCCTTCGACCACTCTCTAGTTCATCTTGATATTGCATTGTCTTCACTTCGATTTCACGTAGCCTGTTACGTCTCTCCTCATTGTAATCGCGACCACTAAAACAGAACATAAATTTACTTTATGTATCCCTAAGTTACACAAAAGAAAAGCTTTTAAAAAAGTCATTCCAGAAATTTAATCTCGCAATTGGACCATATTAAATAAATTGTTATATGTACCTGGAATCCATACTGGCATCCTGTGAATTGGAGTCATCATTTTGACCCAATTCTTCCCACTTGCTAGTAGTCATTGCCTGGGCCTCAACCTTTATAATAAATTGATAAATATAAATTAACATTGATCCAACGTCCAAGATAGGACTACACAATTATTTTTGAAAGACTAAGTTATATATTTAAAGAGAAAAGTTTTTTTAAGTATCTAACCTGATCAGGATCAACAGTTTCCCATCTTGAAGGTACAAAACCTGCAGGCATCGATGGCTTCTTGTCATCCTCCTTATTGAGCGTACCCATGTTATCATCGTCATCCATAGGTATCCCATCGATATCTTCATCCACTAATATATGAAAAAATGATGAATTAATAAAATTCCAAAGAAAGTTAAAATACTTAATCGAATTCTAATCGGTCTAACAATTGTTGACCTTACTTGGCACTCCATCGATATCATCATAATTAGTTGTCAGCTGCGGAGTTAAACCATGCTTCATAGCTCCTTTGAGAAGAGCTGCTCCATCCAATGGAACTCCATCTAAATCTTCACCAGCATCACCATCCACATCGGACAAGGGTGCTCCATCTATATCTTCATCATTCTCCGGCTCTGGTTCATCCATCTGAAATTATCAATGATTCTCATATGCATCGTCTACCAATATTACAAAGCAGAAGATATTCTTCTCACTCAGGTTTAAAAAGTGTATGGTAAACCATAATTAAATATACCATAACAAGGCCCAGGAATGCATTCTGTAGCTTAACGAGAAACTCTCTAGGATAAACAGCCCAGTCCTCCCAAGCTCGAAACATCCTCATCACACGAACCTTAAAGCCCTCAGCTTTAAGTCTGCTGTCAAATTGCTTATAAGCTTGATGGACTTCATTGAATATATCAAGTAACCTGGTCTCAAATCTGATTTAAAAGTGTTTAAAGAAATAATAAAATATCATAAAATTATTGTCCATCTGCATGGCTGCAATTATTCAACGGTTTAACAATAATTCACATACGCTTTCCGGTAGATGGTCGCATTGGTCACCTTGACTCCACAATTGTGCAAAATATCGGATATCAGGTAGAGCCGAGCAATTTTCTTGTTGGCCGGAGTTTGCAAAATGCCAAGGGACTCTGAAATACAATCGCAAATTTCTTCGGCTGCCTCCGCGTGTTCGATGCAAAAGACCATCGTTTCGGCAACTTTTATCCGTTCCGGAGAAATATTTCTTAAGAGATCTTCCAGACGATCTCTTTGACTATAATTTAAAAGATAGTCATGAATAACAAGGCATGTAATCTCGTAAATGCAATAAACAAACCGGACGTTCATAAATTTCTCTTTCCACAAGTGATGCATCGATACTGGTTTAGAATTAATTGAAAAAAACAAATATCCACTCAGTATGAATTACCTGTTTGATAAGCTACCCCTCCTAGGCTCCTGTCGTTCCTCCAATTCTATTAATTCATCAGGCATCCCCTGCGTCCACGGATTAATAGGCGGAGGCCTCCAAACACTTCCACCCTTAAACATCCTGAAATCCTCGATTCGCCATTCTTTCTGGCCATCCCCTTGCAGAATCGAATACAATTTCCATCGGTAGTAAGTGTGGGCAGGCGAGTAGTTCTCAAACAAGAATCTAAAACGGAGGACAAGATATTAAATCAGCGCATGAAGCCCAAACGTAAATAAGGTTAAGAAAAAAGAATCCAAAATTCTTACCTAAACATGGGATTGTTAAGCTCGCGGTTCATGATCATCGCCTCGAACATTGGGCCTTCGCGAATGACGAATTCCACCATTCTATGTATCAACATGACTAAGTTCCTATAACGCACAAGACGGATTAAGGACTGCCCGAGCATCCGGGGATTGGGATGTGCGCTAAAAACTCGAATTACGCTCCTGACGACAGTGTCGTAAGACCGCGACCACATACTTACAGACAAAGTCGGGCTAATCGTACTAAGACTAAATACCTTTCCGTCGGAATAACCACTTTGACAACGGCATTCTGCAAAATCTGTGAAGATGCCACGGAGCGATCACAGTTGATTACAGTGCAACAGAGATAGTTGACAGTCAGGTGTTTTGAGCCGGAGACCAATGCCAATATTTGCGCCCCGGGTGACACAGAGAGTACGGACGCCGATGAGCGAACACAACACAATTTGTAAAGGTGGATTAGATGCTGCCATTTATTTAACGCTTTTGTGGGGAGTCATTTTTTTTTCATTCATTCATTCATTTCCTTTCATTTCATTAGGATTTGTTATTCACGTTATCACGATAGTAGAGAAAAGTCATTTTGCGTGTCTTTCTTTTTCGTTACCGTTAATTTGTCCCTTTTTGATTTTTTTTTTTCTTTCAATTTCACTCAATAAATACAGTGTGTCACTTGAGGATGTTACCCAGAACTTACCCATTGTTTATGGAGTAAACACTGTTTTTATCAAGTCAGGGTCTTGCGGTGCAACTTTTGTCTTTCTTTTTTTTTTATTTAAAAATTCTTTTGGAAGGAACGTTGGATTTGCTCGGTCTTTGGTAACTTGATGTTTCATAGTAAAAATCAGTTTCTTGCACCCTTTGCTCCCTCCAATGATTTTAAACTGGATAAAACCTTTCTCTGATATATTTCTTAAACATTTATCCAAGCGTTATAGCGATACTGACAATCGAGCTAAACCAAAGTTTCTGTACTAACATTTTACTTGCACAGACTTGAATTTATTGGAATGAAAGAATTCGAAAAATATTCATATTTATCCCCAGTTAATGAGTTTACCGAAAACGATTCACAATATCAAAATAATAATCATCAACATGGACAGAAGTGTATTCAGGACTAAAAGAAAATAAATGTTCAAACACAAATGAGGGGGTGAGAAATAATAAGGGAGGAATCACAGTACTGAATTGATTGGCGATCGGTAGAAATATTTGAGAAAAATGCTCTGAGTACGTTCTAACAGAAGAGAATGGCTTTACCTTTTCAAAGTTTTCCTTCTCCTGGGGGTCCGCGCTCTGGAGGTTGCGGATACGTGGTATCTGAGATTATGTTTCAAAAACATGGTTACACGGTTCCGGTGGTGATTCCGATGGAATGTTCATGAAAATCATTATTCAGCATAAGAAACAGTTTAAAAGTACAATCCTTCGCGAACAAGTTAACCATATTTTGGTCATACTTAATAAAATCACCGGTACACATACTTGAGCACAAAAATTGAGTATTGGGGTTTTTGTAAGCTTTTGGAAATCTCATTTTCTAGACTAGATCTACATTTACATGAGCTAATTCAGCGATGGAATAATAAATACATTATTTACAAGAAGAACTTTTAAAAACTGAAGATCAAGGATAAATAAAAAAAATAATCTTTTAATAGATATAATCACATAAAATTACTAATCATCTAAAGTATTTTAAATTAATACAAAAACCCCAAATCTCACTTGACCTGATAAATCAATCAACCAGTCATCCCAGAAGCTCCGATGAGGATTTGAATACAAGTATCAGTCCCACATCGATGACTTTATATAATGACAGTCTAAGGAGGACAACCGGTTGTCTAAGTCATTTAAAAAATGACCATTGCGATAAAAAAATCGCGAATAAGTTAGTTACGTCAAGGGATGTTATCGTAAGTGTCAGTTGTAATAAAACGAATTCAATTAGAACTGTAATTGAGCGCTTTATTATACGTGCTCCTTTGGCTTTGATTAGGTGTACCTTGTGTCTGTCGCGGCGATGCGGCTGGGCATTAAATGGAAGACCTGAAGGAGGTGGTGGCTGCGTGATTTCCATCAGAGCCGGCGGAATGTAAATTGGATATGGCGGTATTGGCACGCTCTTTCCCCAACCGAGTTTCATTTCGTACTGCATTATGTCGCGACCTGATTAAACGAATTTATTAGTCATACAATTACTTTTGTTCACATTTTTGAAAGGATATTCACGGTAAATAAAGTGGGATGTACAGTTTAGGTAATGAATACATAAAGTTCACTCACCGTTAAGGTTCTTCAAAGCCCTTTCACCATCTTTCCGACTCATGAATGCCACAAAACCACAATTCCTTTGTCTAGCTTTTTCTTCGTCGCTACGGGGCCACATAATTTTTATACTCGCCAATGGTCCGAATTTGCCAAATATTTCCATCAATTGTTGTTCTGTTATCTGTTAAGTTTTTCAATATTTAAAATTATGTTCAACAATACATTTAGAAGCCACGATTTTGATAACAGGTTAAAAAAGACACATACCTTTGGATTCAAATTTCCCAGGTATAAATTTGTGGTATTAGGGTCACCATTGTCAAAGGACCCATCTATAAATATTGGAAATATTATGATTTGGTCGAAAATTGTTAAGGTACAGATACAAACCAAGAACGTGAATTCTGATATTTTTTCAAAAGTAATTTTAACATGTAATTCAAGCAACATTTCTGTTGTTGTCTAACATGGAAATTTATGGACTCCTTATGCATTGTGTATAAATATGTAAATGTAGGGACTGGGATATTACCCTCATAGATCAGAGATAGGAGGTGGGGATCGTCGATGAAATTACGCAGGTTAGCCTTTCGCGGGTCCGGATAAGAAGATAAACCACCTATCGAAATTGCTATTAGACTATGGGGCTCTAACTTATTTTGACTATGAACAAAGTACTGCTGCCCATTGCTTAAAGTATTATTGATAATAATTCATAACTTCTACTCGCACTGTTTTAAACTTTTTGTTGCACAAGCGACTTTCTTTTAGTTGGAATAGAACCAATTCACGAGTAAGTTACATATAATAAGAGAACCTGATGTATTTACCTTCAACACATTTCAGAGCAGCCATCATAGGATCTTCGGACTGTGTTGAAATGACAGTTTTAACAACCCCTTTGTATTTGTGCCTTTCTTCCCGCTCTTCTTGAATCATCTTCAATTCTTCTTTGAAGAGTTCCAGATTGCTCTTCTTCTTTTCACCTTCCTTCTTTTTCTTTCCCAGTCGATCAAGCTTCCGCTCGTTTGAACCAAGAAGCCTTGCATATTCCTGAGCTTGCTCAGCAGACGATCGACTATCCACAAGCTCAGAAATTTTGGACTGAGGCTTGTAAAGCTTCCCCTTTTCTCTTGTATCCTCCTCTACAAATTACAAAAATATTGGTTTTACAATGAGACAAAATATAATGTTCTTGGAAAGATATCAGTCTTTTTGAATTTAGCAAAACAGTAGAAATCAAAATGTCATTAAAATATATAAAAACTTGATAAGTTTTCTTACGTCTTTTGCCTGCATCATATGTTCCTGCTTTGACCCAGACTTTGCTTGTTGTTTTGTTCGGTGTTTCTTGAAATGTAGCAACAAACTCTTCAAAGGCCTGCAGATGAAAAAGACAAAATATAGACTTGAAATATCTCTATGAATAAAAATATATCAGTCAATTATAACTGTAAAATTGACTCATAACTATTAATTTATTAGAATACTGTTAGGTGATTCGTTAAAATAACAAATCCTAAAACTATTCACCTGAGCAGCAGCTTGTTCCTGTTCTTTCTTTCGTTGTTCCTCAAGTTCCTTCTTACTCAAAGGTCTCTTTCCCATTGTACCAATGGAAAATGCCTTCAGCTTTTGCTCAGCAATTTGCTAAATACCAATCAAACCGTTCAATTTTCCTAATTTGCTAACAGTATTTACAACAACATAATATTTTATCATTCTTAAAAGGTATGAGCAACATAGTACTGTACCTTCATAATGGCCTTATCCGCCATTTCTGCGATTATAAAACCTAACCTAAAATATTAAAGTTGAAGTAATAAATTTGATGAAACTCATGGGGAAGAAATAAAAAGTTTCTCTCATCTAACAAATTGGTTTAATATTTAAAAAAAAATGAATTGTACCGTCAAAAAGTGCACTGAATCTGCTCCCTTAAATATCACTTAATGAATCGCAACAGAAACGCGACGTTGATGGGAGACCGTAGATTGATATCATGCTTTAAAAATATTCACGAAAATTATGGAAACCTTCAGTAACTTGAGTTCTTCAACAATATTCATTTATAGAATAAAAAGCTCCACAAAGATTAGACATTTACGCGATCAAACGCCCATTGTACCGCAATCAACCGGAATTTAATGAGACTCGGGAGATGCGATATACTAGGGACATTTTAGATATTGAAATAACGCGCGGATAATCACATTGCCAACATAATATTTTTAAACCAAGGAAAAATATCGCTTATAATTCTTAATAACACAAATTTTGCACGTTTTGCTCAACATAATGGACTATCTAACATATTTTGCTAAGTTTATAATCATTTATTTATCAATTTAAAGGAGATTCATTTGAAACAGAGAAATATGACACAATATGTTCGATATGGATTGAATGAAAAAATCACCAGACCTTAAGTGCCGACACGTTTGCCTTTAAGAAATGTCGCAGATGCTTGTGTGAATTCGCATTATTAGGGTTGATGCAGACAATATGAAAATAAACATATAGGAGAATTGTTTGTGCTAGAAAAAAAATACAAAATATGGGGTACAATCTTTCCGGTACTATATTATTCGCGTTACCGTCTATCGGGCAAACAGATTCGCATTTTAGGGAATTTTTTCATTCAAAAATTGGTAATAACACAAATTCACCGCAATCCTCGAGCACAAAACATGGCCGCATGTTTTGTTTGCGCAGGAAGATGGTTATGCCGCAGAGCAATGTTTATCGTAATTACATGGCATAACTAAGAGAAAAAGCGTGCTGGCGTGAAAACCCGCGCATTATTAATTCCGCGAAAATGAACGCGACGAGCCTCTACGTGTCGACGTGTCGTCTCGTCCTGCAAGCCGACGCCGAGGATCCCAACTCCTGGACGGACTTATACAGGCTAGTTCCTTACCTTAGGCAAAGTTTGAGTTGCACCGTCTGTTCAAATTTATTAATTGAGCCTCACACACCAACCGAGACAAACTGCCAGCATCATGTATGCCGAGGATGTCGTGGTGGCCGTAAGAAACTCAAGCCTTCCTGTGGATGGTGTAAAGATTATGAAAAATATGTGGAGAACGTGCAACTTCGAATACTTCTTCAGTGTTATAAGAAGCTTTGCGAATATCTTACAAGTACTGCCATCTATCGCAGTCTGGTCGTCTCCGTAGCATCCAACTCTGCCAGCAATGGCACATCCACGAGTGGAGCAAACAGTCTCATGGAACTGGTTCAGGAAGGTGCTGGATTTAAGGATGAATTCAAGAGCAATGCTGGTCTCTCCAAATCTGCTTATTCTATTTTACCTTGTGTTTATACAAGTACTACCTCTACGCAGACCCAAGCCAATTCTGTACAGACTACCGAACCTACTCCACAAAATGTACCTGGTGGGTTCTGCCAAATAGCTTTTTGTTGTACTCACACAGATTTAGTATCTTCTAATCTATTTCTTGAACGGGAACTACTTTCATTTTCCATCTGGCAATGCTCATTTCAATAGTATTACTAGTTGCATCTAGTGAATAACAGCTGGAGTGCTTACAATCTGTTTATTGATATCACAGACAAAGCATTAAAGAATTTATTGTCTGTGACACAGTATGAACCTACAGAAAGTGTTTTAGTCTCTTATAATTCTATAAAAATATCCATATGAATATTTTATAATCAAACTAAATTTCTTACACAGAGTCTCCAGCAATCAGAACAGTTTCAAATGGCTCCTCTATATACTCAGTGATGTATGCTGGTTCTGGTAATAAAATTACTATAAAACGCAAAGCTGCAGCCACAACAGCAGAGGATACCGAGATGACACATCAAGAGGCAGATGGAACATCACAGAGCTCTGTAGGAGGGGTAAAATGCATTCCACCTTCCCACCTTACATATGGGACTCCCTCTCAGAAAAAGTCTTCGAAGGGCAGCAAAGTAATTTCAATCGATATACAGTTTGCCTTATGCCTTATAAGATAGTGAAACTTTCAAGTAATACTTCTACTGGAATTGAATCGTATACAATGTTGCACGAAATGTCTGAATAACCATTACTTATAAGGTATAAAATTACAGAAGCAAATAACTATGTACTTACAATATTCACCGTTCATATCGTTTGCACTAACCAGTCAAAAAAAATTCAAATTAACCATTTGCAACTTCTTCGGCCCCATACCAATCATTAACACGAAAGTTTTTCAAAAAGTTAATAATAATGTCAATACCATACTCATCAATGTAAAACACATCTCAATATTTTTGTACTACTTCAAACTTTCGTGTTAGCTTATTATTGCTGAGTTCTACACTTTGAGCATGCATATCAATACACGAATTCTAAACTGCATTTCTCTATCTACTAGTCCTCGGGCAGCTTTAAGAAACCCCGATCTAGTTCCACCAGGAGTAAAAGAAAAGGATGCAGATGTGGGAATGCAACTGCAATACCTGGAAAGTTAACTTGCTGCGGGCAACGATGTCCTTGCTACGTTGAAAGTAAACCTTGTATTGAATGCCGATGTAGAGGATGTAGGAATCCCCACACAGCGGATGGATTGAAGGTATTTACTTATTTATTTATACTCAATTCAAACCTGTTAAGTGATTCTTCAATTACACCGTACATTGGGCCCAGATAACTGATTAGTTATACTATAATGTCTCTGTTTGAATATTTTATAGATTCGACCTCACATACCAGAATTGCACAACTTGCAATTACAGCTCTCTACGCCATTAGATTGCGACTCGTTAACTTCAGATCCTCTGACCTCGGTCCAACAGTGTCTTTCTACGTCGCCAACGACGATTCAAGTTCTCAATGTATATTCAACACCCAGGCTGGATATTGACAACGTTCCCCAAAACCTACCCGCAGCACTTCTCGTTGGAGAAGATGCTATGGTAAGCACAGAGAGCGAAGCCGAGGACAGTGACGTTCAGATTGACGTGTGACGACGTATTTGAGGACGCCAGAAGGCGTCGCCCATTTATTCAGACCCATCAATAACAACTTCATCTTTTTTACCGCAATATAAATCCAACCAGTTAAACGTGATAAAGTGAAACGTGTTTTTTTTAAAGAGGAAATAGTATAATAACCAAGTTATAAGAGATAATACCGATATATTAAACATTTATTGACCAGTGTAAGAAACAGTAATAGAAATGAAGAAGAGATGAAGATGGAGTACATTAAATAATAGTGTTTGATCATAATGATGGTCTGAATTCAAGTAATATAAATGTAATCTGATGACGGAGTGTAGTAAAAGAAAGAGATGACAAACAATTTGCTAAATATCAGTGATGTCTGTGAACAAGTTAGTAACCAGTGTCGAATTTTAAGGCTAGAGTGTAGTGAAGAGAGAATATACTGATGATCTGTCAGTCATCTTTAGAAAATATACAGAGACTTATTTCAAGTAACGTGATTCTTAAGAATGTAAATGAGATAAGGTGACTTAGTTAGTGGGACGATAAGCAATTTGCAGGGAATGTAAGGCATGTTTTGGACCATCGATTTACCTATTGGTGTTTAAGCTTAATGACAGGTTAGTCTGATTACAAATTAATTTTATCCTTCGGAGTCTCCCAAGGTTTAAAGTTTAACTGTAGTCGGAATAACTATTCAGCCCCAAGGGTCATAGATAGGAAAATAAAAATAGAATGAATCAAAGTAAATCAAGGCAAATTGAAATCCATAGTGCTATACTGCCAAACATAACGAGACGCGAATTGAATCAGTTTAACGTAATAGGATAATATATAATAGCTAAGCAAATTAAAGGCAAATATTGAGAAATGTAGTCAAAAGTGGGAACGATTATGTTAACTGTATTTACAGTTGATATTTCTAAACACTGACTTGTCTAGATTAATACATTTTTTCTCTGTCCAGACTCTCAACTGTACGATATATTATTTTTCTTCATTCTTCTTTCATCATTAAAAATCATCGAGATACAGTATTGAAAATTACAAACAATCTTTAAGAAGATTGCCAAAAATTACAATTCTAACAAGGAAGGTCGTGTCAACTTTGTCATATTTTCCGCACATCTAGAAATTCTAAGTAAACAAACAGTATGAATCATGAATTATAATAATTATAAGTTTTTCATATTCATGACAAAGCCATTAATGGATTCTAAGACGATCGATGATACTCAATCATAATATATAAACTGATCATTCAATAGTATCATGAGAAGATGCATGTTTTAAAATCTAAAGCAACAATTAATCATTGAAATACGTTACGCGTGTTCTCGGATAAATTCACGAATTTCGTACGATACCAATTTATAAATGTTATGCACGTACAAGTAATCTGTCATTGTGGTAGTTGATGCATTCGAAAGTACAATTTTTTTATGATAAAAAAAAAAAGAAATCACATTAATGTAAACTTGTAAATACTTCATGTTACAATAATAAGACGCCCTTGTGTCGTGTCAAAATCGCGTGGATCTTCGATCTGCACGAAATGAACAAAGAGAATCCGATTTGAAACGTGGCATTATATTATGTTTTAAAATAAGTAGCGTTCATTTCGAAAGCACTAATGCTTTTAGATAAATCTCTACCGATCTATAGATCAATGTTTTCTCAATGAAACGCCACTTCTCGATCACACAGCTATTGCCGATTATTCCGCGTTTATATATTATAAAGCGTAGTATATATACATTGGTTATATAGAGTGCGACGTAATTTCATAAGAAATTCGAATCCATTCTCTACCTAATGTTTAGGTAAATCATATTTGTAAATATAGCGCACTATGCGCATACTTCATAATCATTGTATAAAAAAAAAATACTACCTTATATCAAAGACTTGTAGATTATATATTTCTAGACTAGACCACATTCGTTGAGACTTTGAGAGCGGGAGGCGGAATTTTGAAAAGTGTAAATAAAAAAACTGTTCTTTGCGACGGAAAAGAAAATACAGAAAGAAAAGGTACATGTAACGTTAAGAGAGCGAAGTGTAGTGTTCCGTTTATTTAATGAGGGCGGGGAGGTTGGAGAATGAAGCACGTTAATAAATAATGATTAATCACTCTCAAACACTAGTACAAAATTACTAACAATTGGTGTGTAGCGAATTTTAGGATTACAGAAGAACGAAGTTCGCGTGGGACGTATCGAAGTTAATGTATTTTTGTTTTCACATCCTCATTACCGGACGAGCTAACGGTAAAGAATAGTTACGTTTATTGCCATGTATTGCGTATGCGATTATGAAAATTATTAATTATTGAAATTCAACATTCTCAGGCAAACTTTAATGAATGAAAACGTAATTACGAGGATCGTACTTTTTTTTTAACACGGTAGAATTCCAAAATAAATTATAATTTTGCAATGCTTGCTTCAATTTGGAATTTGAAATACATTTTTTTTTAACTCTTGATTGTACGCCGCACTAACGCGTCATAGTCTCATTTGAATTCAATAAAGTGTGAAGGAGAATATAGCCATTTCGTTTTTGTATTTATCTAAAAAAAAGTGACATCTCTTCAGCGTAATGCACGTCATGCGGATTATTAATTTATAAAGCCTATCTGTGGTAGTAGCAAGTAGACGCTCTATCCGAATGATCGATGAGACATATTAGAAATATTATGTAAAATGTATGCCGATCGTTATTTTAAATACGGCCAACAGAGGAAACGAAAATAAATTATTTAACAGTTACGTAGTTTCAATGAAACGCTAAAAAGTATCGGCTTGATTTGAGTAATATGTCTCGTTGGAGTCGGAAGCTTAAAACGTGGCACTACTGTTTCGAGAAAGAAAGAAAAAAAAAAAGAAATACAGTTATTCGTTATGTCGCACTTGTAACTTACCTTTTAAGAATTAAGCGCATTCTACATAATGTCGTAATATATATAGAGAAATAACGAAATAAAATTATTTTACATACCACGCATGTCTGATATATTTGAATTCGATAGATACTTAATATTCGATTGATTTGGAAAGTCAAAAATTATGTGTTACGTTATCACTCCTATACGCAAGAAGAGGAATTCCGTTTTTGACGTGTATTCACGGAAGAAAAAACATTAACATATTCCCATCGATAAGGTTACGTGGAATGAAAAGATCTCAGCAGCTCATAGAATAATAAAATGTTATATTCAAATTAATTTCATTCGCAGTTTTATTATCACCTAAACGATCAGTCATTTAATAAAAATGGTACAATTTTCTTCGAGTCAAGTTTCATTTCGATCAGTTCAGTGATATAGGTACGATCGTTTAAATTGGACGAGTCGTTAGGAATTAATACGAACGCGATATATGAAGATAGACATCGTCAGTATTACGTATTGCGTATGGGGCGTTTCACGTGTGACTAAAGTCTTATTGAAAAGCATCTATTCAGTTTTACTATAGCTCGTGCAAGTTTTTCCTTAAATCTGATAATGCGCAGACGCCCTTTACATATGGAGGAAGTGACGTAGCGAACATATGTATACATATTTTTTAGCAGCATTAATACTGCTTCCGCTACGCTTCGTCTTGGAAAGACGGAAAGCGTTCTAATCAAAATCTCCCTCAGAAGAGATTTTTAATTAAAAAAAAGATTACACCGTTATTTGTTTCCTGAGTTACACAACAAAAAAACCAATCTTTGATACCTCTAACAATAAATTTTCTAATCTGGTCGTACGGAATTTGGAAATTGAAACGATTATTTTTGAAAATCCAAATATTCGCGTTGCAAAATATCCACGAGGAATTACAATTGAATATAGTTGATGTACTGTATAGGGAAAAATTGAGATTGTATCGTAAAAAATTATTAACGTGACGAAGTACAGTTGTCGTCTTATTCCGGTTTGCGCATGCGTCTTTGTTTTTCAATGAAAATTCATTGCTTCTTTCTCATGTTTTTCAGTCCAAGTTATACAGTTAAACCTAGACACAATTATTGCTATGATTAGAATTTCCGGGCATGCTTGTCACGTGATAATCCACGAGTTAATGTTAAGATTAATACAAGCACGTTTTTTATAATTCGGCTAAATTATTTATCTTCGATCAAACTACGAAGACACTTGTCTTAAAGCTTTTCTGCTTTAATGGGACTAATGGATGAAACTTTCCTGATGACTAATATTTTATGTATCGTTAAATAGCAGACCGTTTTAACATAACAACAATGCAATTGATGACAAACCAAAAAAAAAGAAATCTTATTTAAAATTACTTATGACCAAGCGCTCTTGTCTTAGCTGATTTTGTAATGACAGTCACAACGGACAAAATCGAAGAAAGAAAACAGTAAAAGATCATCAAAGAGAAGACAAAGATATATCCATTCAATGAGCGCTCAAGTAAAAGTCTAAAAGCCTTGTCAATAGACATTTGTGGTAAGAAAAAAAAAAATGATATATTAAAGTGAGTCACTCGATTTCACTATAGACTTCACTAAACAAGAGTGGAAGCCACGTGAAATTCTTAATCGGTCATAATAAATCCTACTATCATCGTTAAAGAGGGTCATTTCCGAAATGAAATATTCGCGAAGCGCATACAAGTATGTCCTCGATGGAGAAATCACCACGTACTCTGGGCGTTCTTAAACCGATCAGAATAATTTATAAGTGGTCGGATAACGCGTCGGTAAGCTCCTATTCAAGTGACGTGCCAAATGATCCCAACCCAAAGTTCTTGCCACTTCGATGCACTTCTCGTCGATCTCCTTCAGCGGTTTCTCTTCGTAATAACGAGCCAGAAGTTTCATGTAACGTCCATGATGTCCATTAATGTACGAATGCCACAACGAGAGTACAATTACCTGAATAAATAAAATAATTTCTTAGTCATCGACGTACAATTGAACCCAACAATAAAATGTCTAATAAATATTTTTAAATGATCGTATCTCAGTTAAAAATCATTAATTTACCTTATTGTCTGTCACTTCGACAAACTTCTGAACGTCTCTCCAGGCGGAAGTGACGCCTTCGAGTAAATGCTGATTCGATCCATCGCCATCGCCCTTCTGACGTGCACTAAGATATAGTCTAGCCAAAGCGCAGCCTTTCTTCACGAGGGCATCGATTAAAGCATTCTTCTGCTTTTCCATAGTTGATTTTATTTTGGCCGCATCGGAACGCTGATCGTTTTTCAAGCCATAATACGCCAGTAGTTTCTCTTGATCGACTTCAGCAATTACAATGTCGGCCACTATCGTGATCTGTTTCGACTGCTCTAGGACAGTCTCGGTGAAATCATCGTGAGGTACATGGCGACGTGCTTCGGCCGAGTCCAAAGATGTCAGCATTGAAGTGTACAAGGGCAAATGATCTGGATACGCAGTCTTCAGTTCTTCGTACAACTTGGAAGCGTGCTCACCCGGTTCTATTCATTGTAATGTCCAGAATTAATGCTCAAAGTTATTGGATTACTATTTTAAATGATCATGAATCTTTTTTGTAATTAGGAAATATCATTTTAAAAATTATTATAAAGAAACATGGCTATTCGATCTATGAATGATATTTCGGTATATTCATGATCGAAGAGATTCTTCAAAATCTGGCTCATAAGGATATTCATCAATTTTGGGGTATAATACTCATTCTGCAAATTTGACATTGACACACGTCAAATGCACACTCCAGGCTACTGACAAATATATTAAACATCATTGAATGGTTTTAAACTGTCTTTTATAATTCATAATAAACAGATTAACCAAATAAAAATAATTAAATTAATCAGGGTAAACTCCAGTACGCCTAACGAACATATAATATTGCAGAATGGCAAGCACAGAGTTAATCAATGGGATTAACCAGCTGGTTGTTAAGGTACATATTGTTAAATCAAACTAATGCCATCGAAACAGAAGTTTACATGAATACAATAAAAACATTGATATTCACAGCAACAAATAATTGCGAAAATTAACTTACTTCTTGATGGAGCTATATAGCGGATCAAATCCAACAAAAAAATTCATTTGATATAAGCATAAGAATTTCATAGCCAGAACCAATATTTCTTAAAGGTTATATTTCTTCGGATGCATATAACAAATTTGAGAAATATTGGAAATGTCTATTTGCAAAATTAGCAAAGCGTCAAGTAATAAATATCAACTTATCAGTACTCACCCATTTTAGCTAACCAGCTGCATTTTAGGTCTCTCAGAGCCTCATTGTATTCATCCCATTTCGTCATTTTTTCCTTCTCCGCCTTGCTTGACTGATTGTTACTTTTTTTAGCTGCCTCCGAAAGAATATATTTGAATTGACGACAATCGACTTTCTTTCCTATGTCATCCTTACTAAACGTTATTGTCCCTTGCAGGTAAGTTCCCAGCGTAGCGCCCTTTGAGAATCTTTGAAGCAAAATAAATAAAGTTTTAATTAAATGATTATTCTTGAAAATGTCTTGTTACGGCAAAATCATAAAGCCTGTTATCTGCTTACTAAAGCAATGCAGGATGAATTTTTTAAAATACCGATTCTTAAACATTAGCTTACTTTTAAAAACAGAAGAAAATAGTCTTAGCGTTTGTCAAGGTTTAAGTAACGATTTTAATTAGGCAAGATCCAATGTTTGCATTTTAATCACCCTGTAGAGATAGTCTGGTACTTTACCGATAACCAGCATGCGTTATTTGTCAATTTTACGGTTTTTAACAAAACTGCACTACCGAAAATGCACGCATAGTAATGAAAGCTAAAGCATTTTTTGGCATCTAATAAAAAAACGCACGTAAAAAAATTAATGACAATTAAAAGACACACATTCTGTTTTTCGTTTTAATGTTCTTTTAAAAAAAAACTTCCTTCTAAAAAGAAGATAGCAAGTATTTTTCTGATACAAAATTTGATCAGTGCACCCGTCCAAATTGGACACTAATCCGAAGCCACATTCGTTATGTAATTTATTTTATTTGTTTACTGGAATTATTTAAATGTCTTTTTTTTAATATTTCCAAAAATTCAGATTAAGTATCCTAGCCCCATGTAACTCATAATTTGTATTAATATTGTAATGTATTTTCTATTATCTATTAATAGCCTTACAAAATTATTCGAAATATCGAATATTCACTTAAAAAATTCAAAGCAAAAGGAATATCGAGAATACTACTGCGAAAATAAACGAAGAATAAGTATGGACTCACTTGTTCTCGGTACTGTCACGCAAGATAAAAGAAGAAAATAATTATATCAATATCAACACACTACATCCGACTTAATCAATCGATAAAATAAAAACGATTTTAATTATGTTATCTAAATAAATAACTTACTTGCTCTCGTTGGACATTGGTGTAATGTAGAGTGGAATGACACTGCCAGGTGGCATTGAGGCAGTAACCATTTTCTTTCCACCGACAAGGGCTTGCGATTGACTGGCATAAACTTCCAAAGTAATTGGTGAGCTAAGTTTTTGGTTGAGAAGTAAAGCCATCTCGGTTAACTTCTCGAGCAAATCCTTTTTCTCATGTCGGACCTGCATCTTCAAAGTATAATCTCCCTTATCCAACTTGGGAACGGTATACTGAAAAATCATTAAAAAATTTAATATTCAACACAGGCTTATAAATCATTCATACTGAATAATGATTGCAATTTATAAATTATAATATTCGAAATAATATCGAACCTAGAGACGAAAAAAAACTTACTTTAGAAGGATATGCATCCCCGCAATAAACAAGCTGCTTGTTACAGTCGTAAATCATCCACATTTGACTCTCGTATTCACTTTCGTAAAGCAAATCACTAAGCAGAGCAGCATTAGGCGTCACTTCCGTGCTCTTTGCTATGTGGAATGTGTAGGTCAATTGCAGTTCATAAATCTGACGAGCCGGTGGGATAACGTCGCGAGCACGTAAGGGCGAAATTTTTGAATCTGTTGGTCTACGGAAAAATAAGAGTCTCTGCATTACAATGATGAACTCGTCGAGCAAGTAAAAAGAGATTGAAACATCGCCAACGGAAATAAGTAATAATCAAATGTATATTTTGACTATATACTCGTTTCTTACCTTAAAACCTGAACGGATGATTTTAAGGATACATTCAGAACGACTTCTTCGTTTCTAAGAGAACTTCGTAATTCAAGGCGATTTATACCATCTCCGGATTGCATTGTCAGATTTCCGTTGACTAAATGAATTCCATGAAACTCTATACAATAATCTATTAGCATATCACCCAAATTGGCCCAATACTTAGCAATCACCACCTCCAGTATTAATCCACCCTGTAATATATCAACAGTGAGACTTTTTTAAACTAGCACGCAGAATTTTTCACTTTATAAAATTAGATGAGTCGTGTTTTACTACTGATGAATGTCTTACTAATTACCTGAACGGCAAATCCTTGAACAGTCTCCGACTGAGACGTTACATTAACCATTTTGTTAACTTCGAGCGTTTTGCAAGCCATTCGAGGCTTCAGTTGAATTGTGTGAATAACAAATCTACCGTTCTTATCCTTTTCAGTGCTTTTTATCCTTAAAACTGAAAATAATTAGGATGCGATAATACCGTATAGTAACTACGCTCTGATTTAGATATTTCTAAGAATTCTTATTTTAATTACCAGCCCATGTTGCGTCATCGGGAACGAGTATAAAATGCCGTTGAATAGTATTTGGTTTGAAAGGGACGTTCGAGAACGATAAATCTGGGAGTACCGAAGTCTTTGGCACAAGTGATGGTTGTACTGCGGTTATTGGAATTCGAAATACAGGACCTTTCTCAATACTTGTTACGTCATAGGCACGGATGCTATAACAAACAATAAATACCATACGTATTAAATGATACAAAGATATATAGACGTGGAAAACACGATGACGGAACGTTCACGTTTAAAACGGATGGTATTATACAATAATAATAATTAATAAATTCCTTACCAAGTCGTATGAACACCTTCTGGCAAATTAGCAGCTTCTATTCTAACAGCAAAAGCTCGTGGCATATGCATTAGGTCCAAATGGGTAGGAAATTGTACCCAGGTCTGATCACAGACCAATGACAGCCTTAGATTAAAATCAATCTTTCTCGAAGGATCTATAGACACACAAAAAATTATATGATAGATTGATCAATTATAATTTTTACAAAGAAAAAGTGTCTATGCATTACCTGTATTATCGCTATCAAGAAAAACTGGTTCTACCGTGATGGCATAATCCTTTGACCGATCGATGACGCCATTGCGAATATGTATTCCCTTGGAATTATTGAGGCCACAATTAATTGAGAATCTAACGTCTCTTTCCGGAGATCCTGCAAATGTAATCAAATTCTCGAATGCTCGTTCAACGTGCAGGAGTCCAGCACCTTGTGCAAAAGGATCTAAGCCATCTACAAAATGCGCAGTGTTCTCGAGCGCCCTCTTTATACTGTACGGAGAATATGCAATTCCTTTTGCAAGGAGCCCTGATATGAGAACAGCTGAAAGACAATAAAAACGTTAGTTGAGAGTATTGGTGCTAATCAACACCTGTTATCATATAGATAAGAAATATATAATAGAATTGATAAGAGTATACTTGATAAAAAAAATTATGTATCTTAATTAAACAATTATTACACACCTACTGCTCCAGTAACATGAGGACTGGCCATACTGGTTCCATTCATCAGTTGACACTTTCTCAACGTAAAGTTCGGTACGCTAGTGATAGCTCCACCAGGTGCACAAACAGTTATCCCAAATCCTCCATCGATCGTAGGTCCCCGCGATGACCAGGTGAATGGCATTCCTGGCATTTTTTCCCGGAGAGAATATTCAGCTACCATCATATCCGGAGATACGTATGCACCAACTCCAATGACACTGCTTGAGCTAATATCCGGTGGAGTTCCTGATTTTAGTTTTAATAGTTTATCAGTAAATCGTCAAGTATTCAGAACTGTGGTTACTACAATTGGCATGGTTAGTTCTGTGAAATAATTATTTACCAATTGTGCACAAGGCTGGTCCTAAATTACCAGCTGATGCTACCCAACACACTCCATACTTGTCAATGACCTCATTCATGAGGTCTCCTATTCTACCAGCGTTTGACCAATGAGCATGCTCTCCATAACTCATATTGATCACGTGAATTTTCTCTTTCCGTTGCATGACCCGAATGATTGCTCTCACAAGGGCAGTACCAGTTTCCATTGTACCGATACGACCGTCACCGACAGTCAAAGAAATTATTTGAGCACCGGGCGCCACTCCATTTAATTCTGGATTTTCAGGGAAATAAGCTGCTGCTATAGAGGCTACGTGTGTTCCATGACTTGCTGTAATGGAAGGTTATTATATTTTTTATCTCCTGACTGTTATAATGATGGTATTTAGTGTGAATAATGTGAATAATAAATTACTGTTATAATGTGGTATTAGATGTTAGACACGGTTGGATTTTTAGAGAACAGTAATGGAGAAAATAATGACACTTACAGCACATACTGACGATTTCTAACGTGTTTCCATCATCGTGAACGTTGATCGTGATATTTAATTGATCATCCTGAGTCAAAGAAGCGAATTCTCTGGTTATGGAATATTCGCCAAGAAAAACACCAGATTCGAGATTACCTTCCTCCGATGTATCTATGCAAGCTCTTTTAGGAAAACAGTTATTTGATAATGAGATATATTTTTTATATAAAATCTTCTTATCTTTTTTATTTTTATTTCTCTGTTACCTCCATATTTCACCATCGTGAAAAACGACGCAGTCATATGTCGGTCCTACATCTTGATATTTTTTTTCTGCATTCGCCAAAACTTCTACTCTTGCTTCCAATTCCTCTTTATCCAATTTCTCTTCTGCAGTAGAAGGCTGTGGAATTTTTGTTTCAAATTCCTGTTGGAAAGTTATAAGAGAAAATTGTAGTGCTACTTAAAATGATAAACTAAAATATAATATACTCATTGACATTTGTATAATATGGAAATATTTAGATTATTTTCGATCACAGTCTCTGATAATTTTTACACCGCGTATAAATCAGATATATTTTGTCAACGTTTTCTTTTTATCGCGAATCACTGTGATTACATAAATGCAATACATGAATGATACCAAAAGTTTATTTTGAGAAAATAAAAGAAATTTTTCATGAATGTCATTATATACCTTAAGGTAATATTGAAAGAAAGTCGCGATTATTTTTAAACCTTTCTCTATGAGGCAGAGAATCGCCTTTCATTCCAGTGCATGTGTTATGCAACTGATAGACACACGTCCTTTAATTAACTGCCAAAAACAAATATAGCTAAAGGTGTGTGAACCCCAGCATAGATAGCATTGTGAAACTTCGGCCTGATCCAATTGCATGGTTTAAGGAACGCTTAAGAATACTATCTTTAAACTGAGCCATCAAAATGTCTGACTACTTCATTTGAACAATCGATGAATCAGGTATACGTATATACATATCAATGTATTCACATGAGTGACTACAATTTAAATTAATTTCATTAATAGAACCGTCACAGTGGAGTTTTTAGGGAAAAAATCAATATTAACTTTTTTTAAACTCACTTTTACATTTGATGTTACACTTGAAAATGTTTGAGTAGTTACCTGTAATTGACGGGTAGCTTCAGCCAGATTAGTTTTGTGTCCATCATCCCAGAAACGTTTCTTTCTCTCAGCTTCAACTCTCTCCCGCAACTTTCCAGGATACAATGTAAAGGCATTTTTAACACCAATGTGGTAATCCCCACTAGGATTGACCCAACTGGTAGGAATCTGTAATAAGACTATTTATAACATCCTGTATTCCAGAATCATAGTAACCAAATTAAAAGTAATGAATTTAATTAGCCTTCTTTTTAAAATTTTACACAATTATTTAGTTAAGTCACATTACTACTACAATGATCCAAAATAACTGGTACTTCCAATCCCAATAAAGGTATTCTTATTAAAGTAAAGTATCATTTCTTACACTTATAATAATTATAAAACTTATGACTAAGCAAAAAAACAGTTTCATTGGCTATAAAGTTTACCTTTAATTTACGCCCTGTGAGACCAACAATGATTTCATTCTCAGCTTGAACAACCTTGCTGACATCAACATCACCAGCACCACTGCAGTCATACCGTTCAATAACCTTTGGCTTGCCGTCTGTTGTTATCTGAAAATTTCCAAGTCCAAATCATTAGAAATTGTAAAAGACCTGTATATATAACAATAAACAAATAATCTGTTTTCATGACGTAAATTAAATTTCAATTATGAAGTTGCAGCTATCCATGTGTCTTATGATCTTACAGTTATTAAAAAAATATTTGCAGTTCCTAATCATAATAAGAAACAGACAGAAGCATGTTTTTAATATAAGAAAGTGATACAGATCAACAAGAAATAAAAACGAACGATAATATAAGTCATATATGAAATTGTATATTCAAGATGACTAGTGCATTTTCGTATAAGAAAACGGAAAATTGCGTCATCAATGCTCTGGAAAATAGAAAAGCAGTAAACTCAGAGAATGAAAGGAGCAGATATATGAAAACAATTTTAAAATGATCAATAAAATAATAAAATACAATAAAAAAGTAAATATTAAAATATTACTAACAATTTTCATAAAGAAAATATAAAGAAACATTTTAAACAAAGAAATAGACTAAATATCTTACAAATATTTAAGGATACTCGAGGCGTGTCTGAGATGGAATATTTTTTCTTACCTGCATACCAGGAGCACCAGGATCAACACCAGAGTCAAATATTGCAATGACCACATTCCTGCCATCATATTCTGGATATTTTGTGATAAACTGAGTGACACCTGTCTCTTTTTTTGGCAAAAGGCCCCAAACAGGAAAATTGCAATCGATGACGTCCGCCATGTTTCGAATCTGCCACTGCCACCACGACTGGGAAAAAAGGCACTCGAAATGTTTCCTTTGTATCATCCCATCATATTCTGGATATTTTGTGATAAACTGAGTGACACCTGTCTCTTTTTTTGGCAAAAGGCCCCAAACAGGAAAATTGCAATCGATGACGTCCGCCATGTTTCGAATCTGCCACTGCCACCACGACTGGGAAAAAAGGCACTCGAAATATATATATATATATATATATATATATATATATATATATACACATATTGCCTCTTAGTTGGACGCATGCGCCTAATTTACATAAAAATAGTTAAGCCACAAACGGTACCATCTGAAACACAGAAAACCACCTTATCGACAGCTATATCAATAACTTAACTTTAACAAAATATAAAATATAATCATTTAATCATATATACTTACATATTTTTGTATCTTTAACTCTTTGGTTTAACAAATCCTGTTTTTTTACAATTTTCCTTTACGCTTTACTCGCATGATAAATAACAGGTCTGGAATCCCCTTAAGGTATTATAAAAAAGTTAAATGTCTACTTTAATTATCTTCTGTCAACAATGCCAGTTTATGTGTGACGTTATCCTGGATTGGAGCGCGCGATACGGATACCTAAAGAAAGAAAATCCGTGACGTGCGTAACCCACATCCTTTCCCCGTGAAATGTTCGTGTTCCTGTGATATCCGTGTGCAATCCGTGTTTTCTAAATAATTGCGGTGGCTTATTTACTAATTCTTCGCTGACATATAGTCTGGTGCTAACTTCCTCGAGTGAATCTGGTGCTGTGGAAATAATGCTCTACCCTGGCTGCGCACCCACCTACGAGACACGTTAGCTAGGTAAGTGAAAGACATGGTGCATAGTTCTCTGAACGCCAAAGTGCTTCACTTGGACAGCTGGTACGCTGATTCTCGCTTGACCGATAGTAATTTACATTATTTTCTTTACGCCTTTGTTCGCCGTGACGTGGAAGCTGTCATAAAAGTGCTTCTATCATGATTTGGGTTATATAATCCGCGGGGATTTACAATTCTACGTAGGAAATTGATTCCGGGTGACTTTTCCTTCTTTCACTTTGCCCTGCCTCATATTACTGTTTTTCAGCGTAGTGTTTGATTTTTACCAGAAAAAATTCCTCGATGGTTTTATTCGTAATAATAATTATCAGGTTGGGCATACGTGGTTGTGATTTTTGTTAGGTTTAGTTTATATTCAATTGTTTGATTAGCTGTTTGTAAATATTCTTTTTATGGGCTTGATAGGCTTGGTCTCTTGACCCACATTATGATTTTCTGATTACCAAGCTGCTTTTATGAAGAAATTTGATAGTTATTTATATTGTTTTCTTTTTATGGATTGTGTTTGCAGTATTCAATGCTGTCACATAAAATTCTTCATCTTTCCATATTGCTTTGTGCAAGTCACTTGAACTCTTTAGAGTTATCGATAATTATAATTTGTATGCCTTACAACGGTGATTAGGAATTTAACAAATATTTTCTTAAATCAATTTTGCATATTTTAACTATGCTTATTCACGAATTTGGCATTTTTTGTTTTATACAGGTTTTACATACAATTCATAGGATTAGTGGAATTATAGCAGTACTAGTATGAACGTGAGTAACTTTTATATTTAATATTTATTGTGATTGCAGTGCAGAAAAGTGTTTTGTCAAATGTTATTCTAGAATCCATTTCGTGCGAGACCATCCAGATCAAGAGTAGATCCTGCTGTGGTTGGTTTTGAAACCCAAAGCCAAACCGTATATGGTACTGTGCCAACCTTAAATCAACCAGCAATCCCAACAAATAATGTTTACCAACATCAAGCTCCTGTAACAAACCAACTGCAACAATCCTCGGATCCTTGGGTTTGGGGTTCGGAGAATGTAAATAATGGCAATGACTCCTGGAATTGGAGCGTTGACCAATCGACTGATTCTCAGCCCCAGCAACAACAGCAATTTGTTCCTACTTATACGAATAATGGGCAGCCTGCAACAAATCCAGTTCCAAACAATTATTACAAGAATTTAAATGGCAATAATAGAGCAGGCATCCTTAATCAATATCCCTCGTCTGGAAAAAATACACCAGGAAGTGCTAGTAGAGAATCCACTCCAAATCATTCTGATTCGTACAGTCATTATACAAACTATAGTTTTAATCAGCATTATCCCACGCCGCCCCGACCTAATTCAGCTAAATCAAGTACAGGACATTCAGATCATTCGCAATGGTCAACAGAACAGCAACCTCAGAGTATACCTTACGTGCAACCCACGTCGGCTATGCTCAATCAAAAAAATCAGACACCTCCACTACCCCCACCAGTAAACAGCTACAACTGGAACAACGTTGATCAGCAGACAATTTCGTCAACTCACACTTGGCAAAATCACACGAATGCTCCTACATCTTCTGGTGGCTATTTCGAATCCAATGTCCCAACAGAAGGGCAGCATGTGGAGAACATGGGAAACAATTGGCACCAACAAATGGTACAACATATTGCAGAACAACATCCCCAAGTTCCAGTTACTGTCCCTGCCCCGTCAGGAAAGGAAACAGGAAGCAATGATCGCTCTGCCAATTGGTCGAGTCAACACCAAGAACGCGAGACATCTAATTCTTGGTCAAGTCAGGGTAACGTTTCTTCTAATCAGTGGCCTAATCAAAATTCGGAAAGCAACGTGCCACCTCAGTGGCAGCCAACTATTTTGAATCAGTCCGAACAACCTGGTAGTATAAATTTAACTCAGCAATGGCAACAACCCAATGTGCAACATGATGTACAACCTAATCAATGGATTCAGCACAAACCGGAAACTAGTAACATACCGGAAGATATACCACCGCAGGAAATCACTTCCAACAAATTACCATCAAATGATTGGCAACAAGTTCAACCTCCTTCATCACATTTTCATTCTTCCAGCGGTTCTACTGCTTCAGGATCTACCTTGAACTTAGCCAATAATGCAGATCGACAGGATGAGCAAAATAAGATTGCTACTTTCATTGGAAGTTCAACATCTTTAAATGATATTCCTGCCCAAACTCAGATAAATCCCATGCTGATACCTGAGCAGAAAGATTGGGCTGTTCCTGATACCAATCTGACTTCTGATAATTCAGAAAAAATTCCAGCCCAGAACAAGACAGAGACGAATTGGAATTCAGATGGAGAATGGAACACGATACCTGTCAGTGAATTGTCTAGTGGTTTCAACGAACTCAGTCTTGTAAATAAGCCTGACAAGAATCTTGAAAATCAAAATTCCCAGATGGAGACGTGCCCACCTCATTCTGGTGATTGGACTTCTCATTCTACTTCTAGTTTTTGTCCATCGAACACTAACAATGACACTGCAACTCCTGATAACATAGGTAGCTCAGAAGTTTCTAACCCTGTCGAAAGTCAACCTATAGCTCAGGAGCACTCACTAAATCAGACATATCAAACTGGAAATTCGAAAACGACTGAAAATGTATCTCAAGCTGGATATGATCAATGGTACAACAGAAACACGCCTGCTGCTCAACCGGAAGGTGGATGGTATGCCAATGATCGTGCAAGACCACAGAAACAATGGTCGCCAGAACAGAATGTGGAGAACTATGAAAATATTCAGCAGTCTTCTGAATTCGTCAACCTGGAAGTAGTAGCGCCGGTGTTACAGGAACGCGATATATATGGTTCACGAGATTCCATCAATAGAGAGACCCTGGATAACGATCCCAAGCTAGTTTCAAGTCCTTCTAAGGAAACAGCGACTTCTAGAGATTTCCGACAGGAGGCAAATAACGTGGAAGTTCCTGCCTTACAACAACCTCAACCGCCTCTTCAGGTTGAACAGGTAGATATTAAGGATACATTTAATAAATTAATAATAATATTTGCTAAACTGTTAATACTTTATTCTTTGCTTCTCCAGGCGCCTGATAACTACGAGTTTGCATCGAACGACAGGAATACTTTCTTGGAGACTGGCGAACTGACAGATTCTCATCAGGAACACGAACCAACTCCACCAAGTCAGGATGATGAGAACGATGAAGTTCCCAACGACATTCCTTTCCTTCGAGAAGTTCCTGGCCAGTCAAGTTCCACTGATCCTAGAAGAAATGATCCTACAGGTCAGGAACAGTACGTTCAGACACCACGAACAAGTGATCCTAGAAGAAACGATCCTTCAGGACAAGAGCAAAGTGTTTTAGGAAGAAATATCCCTGAGAGAACAGAACGACGAGATGTTCCTTCCGGTCAGGAAAGGAATATTCCTTTATTGTCTCGTGGTGATTCTGACACACTGGAACGTAGAAACGATCCTTCGGGTAGAGAACGATCTTTGCCACCTCAGCAATCCAGGAACGATCCCTCCGGTGAGGAACGCATTCCTTCGCAGTCGCAGACCATACCGGAACCTGCTGAAACTCGTGAAGTACCTGGAAGAGGAAATGAAACGGAAGATCCTGTTCAACAAACTCATAGTGGAATCAGACAGATACCTGGTGGAGCGTCTCCAAATGAGTCTGTGCAAATTCCCGACGACAGAAGCGATGCCAGGGTTGTAACTGGATCTCAGGAGGTTGCCACATCAGTTCGTAAGTGTCTTATTAATAACATTTAAATCAATTAATAGACATTTATTTAATTTCACTGGTTATAAACATTTAAGCTATGGCAGCGATGCAAGACCCACCAAATGAATCTAGAAATAAACGCGAGGAGGCTGTAGGAGCATCCGTGGCTGAAAATTCGGGAGTGCCTGGACCACCGAATCGCAGAGATTCGTACGAGGACGGCGATGACGAGGGTTCGGGTAACAGTCGCGATGAAAGTCGAGATAGAAGACGAGATGGCAGCCCTAGTGGAAGACGCTACGATTATGACAGGAAGGGTAGATTGTGAGTATTTAGATATATACACTTTTTCTTTTATTTATTTTCATACAATATAATATAAATTATTTAACTAGTTACGACCGTGATCGAGAGTACGAAGAAGATTACTTCTATGATCGTCGACGTGGACCTGATTACGAGAGAGCTTATAATTCTCGCGAGGATCTAGATCGTCGTGATCCCTCTTACCGGGACGATGATCGTCGTCATCCCAGTCGGGATGATCTGGACCGACGTGGACGTGAAGATGTAGACAGAAGAGTCAGAGGCAAGGACGATCCTGATGACAGCAGAAGAAGACTCGACGATCGCAGAAGAGACAGAGTGGATGATCCAAGGCGCAGAGACAGAGATCCACGGAATTTCGATCCACGATTCCCTAGGGATAGAGATTATCCTGATCGGGATAGGAGGAGAGATGACAGAAGACGAAGATACGACGAATACGAAACTAGAGAACCTTTCAGAAGAGAGTACTATGATGATCCTTATGGAAGAGGGTAAGATTGCTCTTATATTAAAGACTTAATTTTTCTATTTTATTTTCCTTTATTAAATAATATTTTTCTAGGTCAAGGCCATCCAGTCGATCCTCATACAATGACAGAGATCGGGATTATTATTTACGAGCTAGAGATCCCTACTACGCTTACAATGGTTTGTAGTTAGCGTTTATTTATTTATAATTTTATTATGCTATTGTCTTTTACTTTTTTCTTTTGTACAGGTTATGGCGGTTACGACTACGGTACCAATTACAACAACAATTATTATGCCTACTTTGACAACCTACGAAGAACCAATCCTGTTGCTTATGCCGAATGGTACAACAAATATTATGCAAATCAACATCAACAGTCACAAGCTGCCAGAAATGTTGGCAGTTACACAGAGGACAGAGCCAGTGTGCACTCGGGACGCAGTTCTTGCGATGACAGGTAGAATCCTCATTATTTAATCTTCATTGTTTATGGTCAATTTTAAATTGCGCAGGATCGGGATCTAAGAATTGTAAAATACTAGAACGAAAATTTCAAAATCGTAAATAGCGTCTTTCTAAATTGAACGGTCTTTTCACTAACTATTATGTCACTTTCTTAAATGATGCATATTTTTATTAACCAAAAAACCCCATTCAGCGGCGAATCAGTTACATTTATTTGTAATTACATGTTAGATTCTTTGCAAACCCAACTATTTACTTCAACTCCCCCAACAAGGCGTTGTACGTCTCTTATTTCGGGTATCCCGGATGGACGAGGAGCCCTCTGCGAAGACGAAATCTATTTAGTCGCAATTCGACTAGGTGAGATCGGGTATAGTCGAGTATCTAGAGTTCCTCTTCTTGTAAGCCAGATGTACGAAGCCAGTTGCGATAATGCTAGAGCCCTGAAACTTAAACTTAAATTACACGTGCTTATGCAGTCTTGCCCGACTTCTAATGAATCGTATAATCTAAACGCAGTTACACTCCGCAAAAAAAACTTTTTTCCATCACAGCACAAAGCAAAATAAGCTTGGACTGCGAACATTGCTTGTACACGTGTATATTTTTTTTATGTATAAACACGTAGATGCGTTCAGTAATTATATAATAATTGAAATCATGCTTTAAAAATATTTTTGTTTTAGAATCACCGGAGATAAACGTACTTTGGACCTTCTTGAGGACTCTCTGAACGACGCACCACGAAAGTTCTTCACGGCTCACGTGCTAGGTAGAATAATTTATAAAATTTATATATTTATTATTTTTAATTCGTAATACCGTTCCCCGCACTTTGATTTTGTTAATCAGGTTCTTTCACTATCGGCTCACTCTTACACGTGTACGCGAATAATCCAACTGATGGAGAAAAAGCCAAGGTGGACATTTTCCGTGTGGACAGTCTGACGCTGCATGATCCTGTTGCACGAGAATTACGTGCCTATCCTGGACCACTAATTAAGCAAGTGTAATTAGCTGTCTACTGATCTAAGCATGCGTATATAAATATCTATTTAATTAAAACCAATTGCATGCATATCTTGATACCATGAAATTATGCTGAATCCTTTGTGTACGCATACTTCGTAGTGCTTCATGAGAGAGCAGGCAAAGGCATGTATCATTTAGATTAGACTTTTTGATTAATGGAATATTTTTATATAGGGGCGTGACGCATAAGAAAACGATCATTGAATACTGTGAGAATAAAATTAAGAAAGCCGATGTTAACGAAGATATGGATGATTCTGCATCGTACATCTTACTCTACGAGCTAATGATCATGTTGATTCAGCAGAACGGAGTATGTATCTTGATTACGTATGATTATAATTAGTCCAGTGATTCCTGCGATGGTTAAAAGTTTTTATTTTTCAATACAGAACGTTGTCGGGGTGGACATTGCTGCTTTGTTATTGAGAAACAAGGATGCGTATCCTTATGACGCAAACAAGCAACACGTACCGGTAAGAAGAGAATCTGTTATGTCACAACGTTCCGGAAGTTTAGTCGGAGAAGGATCCGTTCACGAAGGGTCAACGTCCCATGAAAAGGAGGACGCAAACAAACCGAAGAAGCCATTGACGGTTGAGCAAATGACCAATGAATTCAGGGACACCCTACTTTATGGTCTTGTACAGGAGGCTCTAGGTATTTTATTTTCAAGCAAAACCAGTTTTGAGATTTTTGAAAGGTACCTTTTACTGCATATTTTATTTTTTTTATATTTTCAGAATATGCTATGGATCAGGGATTGTGGGGACACGCACTGTTCCTGGCCAGCAAATTGGATAAACGAACTCATGCATCGGTTATGACGCGTTTTGCAAATAGTTTGCCAGCTCATGATCCCCTTCAGACTTTATACCAACTTCACTCCGGGCGCGTACCAGCTAGTGTCACGGTAATGTATAAAGTGTAGACTCTTTTTGAGTAATTATAATAAATGACGGTTTCTTGTTCAGTGCGTAGCAGATCCAAAATGGGACGATTGGAGGCCTCATCTAGCTATGATAATCTCAAACACGTCAGCCAATCCTGAGATAAACCGCAGATCTATAACGACCCTGGGCGATACGCTTGCTGCTAGAGGAAACATTCACGGCGCTCATTTCTGCTATATCCTGGCGCAGATCGATTTTGGTCCTTATGGCGCCAGTGCCGGGAAGCTGGTGCTAATTGGTTCTAATCACAACAAACCCTATTCCGAATTCGTAACCTTGGAAGCAGTGATGCTTACTGAGATCTATGAGTATGCACGGAATCTGAGCGAACCTGGTTTCACTCTGGCCGATCTCCAAACCTTCAAGTTCGACTTGGCTGTTAAGATGGTGGACTATGGTCTGATCGAGAAGGCTTTACTTTACATAGAACAAATAGCGGTGAACATCACGAATGAACCAGCTAAATACAAAAGATCCTTCATCGAGCAGGTTTATACAATTGGAGACAGAATCAAATATCACGATCCTGTTTGCAAAGATTCTCTCGAGGATGCCGCGAATCTGGCATGGCTGAACAATCTTTCTGAAATCGTTGGAAAATGTCAGGTAATTGTGCTATGATGAATGTAATTAAAATTTATCAAAACGTCTTAAAACTCTAAATAATATTCAATACTGCAAATTATTACAGACTGGTGAGATAATTCAGGACGATTTACACGATCCTAGAACAGTCACGGATATGCACCAAACACTACAGACTCAGAAGCATCACGAGATCCAACAACAACAACATAAGTGGAGTGTAGCGCAACCAGATTATTCCGATGGACCAACTTCTCTGATGGAAGGTTCAACAATGGATCCCCAATCAGAATGGCAACCAATGTCTCTACCAACAAACATACAAGATCCTTATAACCCAAGTTCACAATATGTGGATAATAGTATGGATCCCAGTCAATATCAGCAGAACCAACATCAGCAGGATTACTGGAATCAGCAAACATATAGTCAGCAGGATTACTCAAGCCAGGATTACACACAAGCTGATTGGCAGACACAACAGGCTCAAGCACAGTATCCATCGGAACAGACAGATGCTGATAATCAGCAACAGGATAAATGGAATTATGAGGTGAGTCAAAGATATTATTAAAATAATCATATTATAAAAAATATTTCATTATTATTATTGATATAGTCCCTTGTCAAAATTAATATTACTATGAATAGACATGAATTAAACTTCACTACCTAATCTTTATAATGTTCTCTGATCGCATTGATTATGCTGAAAGTACCTTGCGTGTTTGATCGTTGAGAGGTATTAAAGAAAAAATTTAAAAATGTTAAAAGATGTATCATGCCTACACTTTGGATTACATAGAAATTAACAACTTTCGCATCTTTTCTTACGCTCGCTTGCCCGCTCGTTCGTGCGGACAGTCGGAAAAGGAAGAAAAATCAGCTACACCGGAAGTAAGTAATCCCACGCTTGCATTGCGTAATAGTGGAATGAGATTGGGAGCCAGCGATAATTTGCTGCGTCGACGAAAAACGATAATTAAACCAGAGCCAAGTAATGCCGATCGTACAGCAGTCGTGGTCTATAATAATGATAATAACGTTAATAACGAGAAGCCATTGTTGCAAGACACATACTGTGCTTATAAAGACACTAAGGTTAAATCAGATAAATGTCAGCAATCGCTGAAATATCCAAAAGTGACAATGAGCTACCCAAAGATTTTTAATCCCAAGAAAGTTCATCCGGAGAATCCTCCTAGAGTAAAGAGAATCGATCCAAGAGTGGTTAGACCACCATTGTCAAAACCACCAGTGTTTTTGAAATGTAAACCCAAAAAAAATGAGTTATTACATGAGACGACTGATGAGGATTCAGAGCATGAAACTGAAAATGAGTCAATTAGCAAAGGGCCAACCGATTTAGATATTCAGTTTGGTTCTTTTAGGATGGAGTCATTAAATATGTCTTGTTTGCCATCGGACAATCAGGATAATTCATCTTTGTCCACTACTAATAATCGATGCAAAACTTTGAAAGAATATTGTAATTTTGATGAAAATAATGCACTCAGAATTGCACCTCATATACATCGCAGGGATATAATTTGTGACACGGTGGATGCTTGGTGCGATGTCAATGATGGACACACTATGGGAAGATTAAATAAACCGCTTATTTTTGGTGGAACTTTTCCCATAGATATCCCATTGATTAGTGGAAGTATTAAAAATAGTCCTACGAGTAAGGGAAATGCACTTGCTGGAAAAAATATTTCAAAAACCTTTGATATCGATGCACCAGTTGGTGACAATTGAATCACTTGCACTCACAATAGATACAGATAATAAAATGCGATTGCACTGATGATTATAGGAACTTTAAGTAACAATAACATTAATATCGAGGGGCAGATATTATCTCTTGCTATTTGTGTCGTTAACAGTCTTACTGTAATATAAAAATTGTTGAATGTTTTTAAGTGTCCAAAAAAGAACAACTAGTTTAAATGACCTGTATAGTAGAATTGAAACGTGAACACACACCATGATTTATTAAACAAAAAAAAATACCATTTGTATTTCTTTGTACTCAATTCTTTCTTGTATTCTGTTTCACATGTTACAATTATAGCTATCTATAAGAATTAAGACTATTGTTATAAGATTCGAAATGTCTAATAAAAAATATGGCACACTGTAGTGTCTCTATATGTTCATAAATGATATAAAGGGTGTGTTGAAGATTTTTTTTTTGTAAATAATCTTTCAGAACATATTCATCTGTTAGGACTAACCTGAAGTCAAATAGAAACAATATAGTAATAGAACAACCGCATATGCTAAGTGTTAAGACAAACTGGAAGCTTGCAGAGTTTCTCGTTGTTTACTGTAATAGTACTATAACTCAGTGAAATGATTCTAAAGTTGTGCAGAAACACTTGAATAAGTAATTAGTAGAGAATTCAGTAAATTCTCTGTAAATTTCATTTGCACTGGGTCTCTCTCTCTCTCTCTCTCTCTCAAAATATATGTGATATATGCATATATATGTTCATATTTCTCTGCGAAGTAACTCTATTACAGTAAGCGACGAGAAGCTTTGCCGGAACAAGTTTGCGATAATGAATTGTATATTTTATTACAGCCTCAGCCAACGATATCAATGGCACCCTCGTCCTCGAAGCAGTACGATCCTCTGGAGGAGCTGGATTCCCTGGATACACCCAGAGCAGGATCAAAAGCAACAGCTGAAGAGAAAAAGGTCATCGAGAAGCAGTCAGACAAAAAAGCAGCTGGTGGAAGCGGATCCTGGTTCGGTGGATTGTTCAGCAAATTGGCACCAAAGCCTAAAAATCAAATGATCTTACCGGACGACAGTAACCCTACGGTAAGTCCCATCCGTGTGTGAACAAGAACGTCCTCGTTGATCCACCCAAGGAATCACGGTAGATGGTTTTATGTTTTATGTCGCGAAGGGCTCTCGAGGTTACTTGTGGTAGTTACCTCGGCTATATAAGACGGAAGAGAAAAGGCCAGTATAATGGGGCATTCAGATATTTAACAATCGATCCCACTAACGAACTTGTTAATTAGAAAAGTAGTTGATCCCTAACAAATTCTAAAAGCGCGACAATGAGTTCTTGACTGAAGAGACGTTAAGCTAACGAAGAGAATAAGCTAAAAAAATAGATTAACTACCTCAGATTAATTATAATTTTTCTTTTCTGTTTCCATCACAATAGATTGTTTGGGATCCCGTCGCTAAGAAATGGACGAACAAGGATGAGGATGGTGAAGGTACTTCCGGTCCTCTGGCTCCACCTCCAAAAGCCACTGACATCGGGTTCAGAGCATCAGCGGCTGAATCTAATGCTCCCACAATTCCAAACCCGTCAGCGTCATCGAGTGCAATTCCAGATGACCTGTCAGTGGTTAACAGCTCGAAATTACTGACTGGCAGTAACATGTACAAAATGCCAAAGGGAAGGAGTTTGCGTGCCAATTATATAGACGTGATGAATCCTAGTGGAACAAAGGGTACTGCACCGCCATCAAACGTACCAACACCTGTAACATCACCTCTGGTGCCAATGGCCGCGTCGTCGCCACAATTATTTGTCCCTGCCCCAGGTAATCATTGGACTGAGACAGTATTAAAAAATACTCCCCTAAATTCTTCTCTGATCCTTTTCTTTTATTACAGTCAACGACCCAAACGCTCCTGTAGACTTTTTAACACCCACGCCAGCAGCAGCTGTTACTGAAAATGCATCCCAGGGGGTAAGTGAGGCACACAAACATTTTCTGTTACGTAATTATATTTAATTATCTCTTCATCACATTACGTTATACGTGAAATTCTCTTCTACACTTCTATTCTCATGGCATACACTGCATTTAACAGTACAGTTTCACGTGTATACGTTTTCAATTATCTTACTCGACACACCATTTGTTATTTTATCGTTGGTGCCCGCCCCTCTTTATCCACCGGCACAAAGCGCTCTGGCTGCAGTATGCTGTTATGCAGTTTTCATGTAACTCGAACGTCTCTCAATGGAACTGTAATGTTAAAGCATTCGTTATTTATATTACTTAAAAATATCTTATAACCCTCTTAGCCATGACACAATGCTAATACGTATGCTCGTTTACTTCTTCATTAGTTTTATGTATTTATTTCCATTCTGTTAACACCAGGTCCAAATCTTCTCAGGATTCGTTTCTCTGTTATCCCTTTACTCCAGTACCTAGAAGCTAGCGTCTTTCTTGGTTTTATTCCTAAGCATGGGTTTTTAATACTTCAAGTAAATCCAATTTTTACAATTAACGAAGCCCGTACCATAGAAAGAGGAGAGAGAGGTTAAAGCCTAAATTACTATTAAAGATAAAAAGCGATACTCGAAAGTGAATCCGAGTACTTCATTTTATTCTTCTTCGCTGTTACTGTGGCACAAAGAATAATAATTATTGTATCTAATAATCTTATCCCCCTGTAATTACATACACGAGTTTACATTTAATTCGTGTTTCGTTTCATGTTCCTCTTTTTGCAAGCAGTCGGGGACGCAGAATGACCTAGTCAAATAACAATTCTTGACAATAGTAAGGAGATCTTCTTCTTTATTCATACAGTCTACTTTTATTTTTGGTTTGCCTATTTATTGGATTTCGCACATGGATATGCACCTTTTTTCCCTGCGCATGTTCACACAGTGTCTGGTCGTTAAATATTCGCCTATGTTTATGCGTATAGTCATAGTTATCTTTTTTTTTTAATTGAATGTCTTAGAAAATAATTTTTTTTTTACTTTCCTACAGCTTGCACCATAGCACGCAAAATCCGTTCCCATGTCCATGTCGTTTAGACGTATTCCCATGTAAAAGTACACTATTGATCTTTATCGATCATCGTTGCTTAAGAAACTAAAAAAATTTTTTTTTTTATTTTCCCTCAACCTGCCTCCCTCTTACCTCGTTTGTCATCCAGGAGCTTTTTCTCCTGTCGCCATAGCACGATAGTCCCTCCAAAAAAAAAAAGTTTCCATTAAAGGAGACAATCCTCACCACCAGATAAGAATTTGAGGAGTGACAATTTAAATGAAAAATAAAACAGCATGCTTGACACTTGGCTTACTTTACCTCTACGACAATACGTCAATCTGTATCAGCATGAAAATCGCTTAATGTCCACATTAATGTATAATTTGAATATGCTCTCCCACCATTACACGAAGAGCGCGAAAAAGTGTGCGCTCGCGATACCGACATCTGGAAGCCAAAAACTTATTCAAACTGCATGGAAAAAAATGCCTCTGCACGTTATCGTTAGTTCAATAGGGTTCAGTCGGTATTGCGCGTCCCACTTTTCTTCTAACACATTTATTTGAAGAGTTAACGACGATTATCAGTCTGTGAGACGACATTGTTATTTTGTACATGGGGACTTAGCTCTCTCGATGGAGCTCGACCAGCTCACTATCGCGAGAAGTGCAGAGCTACACAATGAGGGATCCGCGCCTCCTCCAGCGGGAAAAGGTAATTCACAATTATCCTGTATCACGAAGTTTTAATTGACTTGTCAGTCAGAGTGACGAGTCGCGTGACGTAATACCGGATACACTATCGATTATCGTCCCGGAAGCTATCCACGGTAAGACGCGTGAAAAACCTCTTCGCATAATGGCAGATCGTACGTTCATTTTTATCGTTACTCTCGTCCGACTAATATCCATATACATTTATTTATTAAAATCTTCTAACGAAGAGCTAATCCACACGCTGTGATTAACGATCATTGAAATTTCACTGATATCATTTGGAAGTCATCGCTTCTATACACTGTGTAAGATACTTGTGTGGTTTTCGTCGGTTTTCATTTCAAAATTAATTTTTTTTAATAATCTCTACTCTGGGACAGCTTGGTGAAGGAGGCCGCTGGTTATCTTGGCTTGTTAGAATTTTTGTTTTCTTTTTTTTTTGTCTATTGCCATATTGCTTTCACGGTTATACAATTTATGCGCAGAGTTTAATTATCGATCAGGTCTGTTTTTAATTGTATGTAATTTTTCCTTGTACTTTTGGAATTCTTGTAATTATATCTTTCTTTTATTTATATATTCGTAGGGACCAATGATGTTCAATCCGACAGACATGAAGGATCGTTCGATGAAGAACACACCGAGAAGCAGATACCCTCCACGATAAGATTGTTAGAGGCTGCCGCTGCTGCTGCCGCTCATGGAAATGCAAATACAGTTTTCGAAGAGGCCATTTTCTCGCTGTACGTTTAACGTATATGGAATAGTCAGAGTTCTTAGTAATCGATAACGAGGCAAATTTCATAAAGAGTCATTTGTCCTCTTGGCGAGAGATATGTGTGGGAATTTTTTTTTAAATTAACATCCTGAGATCAGTCTGTTCTCAGTTGTACGTATGTTATCTGCATTGTTATACAGTTTGAAAGTTATAAGCTTAATTACGCTAATTAATTTTCAATAATCCTTTCGTCTATGGACGCATGTAGGGAATTCATGAGGCAACGGGTCAGAGTGAGAAGTCCTTTTTTTTTTACATGGTCAATCTATTAGAATAACACGTTTCACCTATGAAACTGTCGATGAATGATTCGTTAATTGAGGAAGTTAAAGAGAGAGAGAGAGAGAGAGAGAGAGAGAGAGAGAGAGAGAGAGAGAGAGAGAGAGAGAGAAAGTAGGCAAATATCGTTGAAACTAAGATTAAATCTTTATTAGGGATTTAAAAGTGTCATGACGTTTCTTTGTTTCTATGTAAACTTTTCCATAATTACACAATAGTCATATAAAATAATAACATGTGTTCCGATATGTTATCATGTTATCAGAAGAATGGAATCGCTCTTAGATGAGTATAGGTTAAAGGAGATGGTGCTGGTCTAAGATACGTCTACTCAGAATGATAACGTTCAATTAACTTTTTTTTATTGGAAAACAAAAATTATCTGTCAGTACAGTTTTCAGTTAGGACACGTGGATTCTCAATTGGTGAATTTGTCACAATAAGAAGAATCCTGTGCGCTAAAGATTATGATAGTTTTCCAACGATATTAGCGATTACACGGTTGTTCATAAAACTTGAAAGTCATCGAGGTTCCACTGCGGAATGATTTTCAGGCAATCGCCTGGAATGCGATTAGGATGATGAATTATTTAATTAAATGAATTTCTTCTGCGCGTGGTTCCGTTTTTGCTTACTATGCACGACCAGTGCTGCGTTAGGTCGCCGCGAATGACGACGCGATGATGATTAATGATTTAGAAAAATTCTTTAGAACGTCAATCATCAGTGTTTTTCCGCTAGCGATGCAAAGTCTGATTTTATAAGCCGACAAGTGTGTCGTAGAGTCGCCTAATGAAAATGGGAATGTCAGTAAAGGAGTATACATATATGTTAGAGAAAATAATGGGAAACTGAATTTCTCTTAGATTAATATTGGATTGCTATCGATCGGAATGATTTAATTATTTAAGAATGTCTGTCCGTTGATACGTCACTGACCAACTGCCAGTTCGTGCTACTGCGAAAAGTTTGTAAAAAGATCAAAAGAAAGAAAATTTTCGTACAGATTCGTTAGTTTTAAGGATTTGAAGAATGTTTTTCAACATTTTTCTTTTCCTTTTGGTCCTCGTTAGTCACGTGGGTACTGATATCCTCTTTCCTTTGGATCTTTTATCATTCTTTTTTAAGCTAGGAAAGACAGGACAAAGTTTAAAGGTCGCTTAACACTTTCTAACGTTACTGGCCAAAGCTTATTATTATAGGCATGAGGTTAATAAAAAGTTATTAATCGTTACAGTTACATAAATTATACTTATCGTTCAGGTCGATGATACTTGGTTTTTTCTTTCTCGAAACTATGCGTGTAATGTGTCACTCGAATTTATTGATTTTACCACGATCTATCAAGCATACGTGTATTCAGTGGTCAATGATCAAGAGATTCTTTTGTTTGCCGTGAAAGTGTTGCAATTATTGATCAGTAATTCGTATTTTAATGACATCATTAAATTATTGTACATAAATAGACGTTCGGTCTGTACGAATTTAGATATCCGTTTAAATCATGATGTTAGTCTTACTAAAATGAAAGCATAAAAAAAAAGAAGATAAATACCAGAGACAGATCCGTTATTCTTCACTGTAATCTGTCTGCGGCACGTTACTGCTAATTTGTCATTATTCCACAAATAGAGGAATTATCGTTGAAATAGACTAAATTATATTTCTGTATCCAATTTTATACACGCGACCCTCTGATAGAATTCTCCTGACACACGTATAACTATGATTAATATCCTTGTCCTCGGAATTTCTCTTGTATTATTTTATAAACTGTTGAATCTGCACCGTGTCCCAGTTAATTATTAAAATCAATATGCCTTTTGTACTCGTATCTCGTTTAGCGTCTGCCTGTTATTTATTGAAAAGAAAAACCGTGTTTCTTTAATAAATCAAGTCTCGTCTAATTTATATGAAACAAAAAGGAACGATACTATTTGTGGAAAATGCCAATGAAATTAATAAGCCAATGTTAAAACATACTGGACATAACAAATTGTTTAAAAGGTGTCTCGACTTTAGCCAGGAGCATTGAAAGTGTGTTAAAATCCCTAAAACAAAGAAAAATAACAAACTCTCGTAATGGCGACTGAACAACTTCGTAGGATTTTCTTGGTCCATAGGGGCAATCTGAAGGAATGAATATTTGGGATATAAAGAAAAGACAAAGGAAGCAGAAAGGGTACGGCAAACCTAGTGTTCTATTTTCTTTAGTCAAACATAATGAAGTCTGGTAGATTTTTGTATCCTTTCATCTACCGTGTTCTATTGGCGAATGGCGAAATTGAATTTTATCTAAGGCTTCCCATTCGACATTGTAATCAATTCGATTAGGGATGATATGCAAGGGATGAATGGATGGTGAGGTAACGTTAAATCGTCCTGAAGAAGTTAGCGTTAATGTTGAACGGAAAAGTATTAATTGAGCTGTACGTTATTGTATGTATAGGGTGGTTTACGTGTAAGCGATGCAATTTGGCTTGAGGTGTAACATATTATTACGACATACGCAATTTACAATTCAGAGTTGATGTACGTTTATGGGAAACATGGATAACGATAACGTGTATTATATATTATTATTATTATTATTATTATTATTATATTAATTAATGTCACTTATTGATATATAATAATAAAGTATATTATAAATTGGACTTGGGACATTCTTTAGTATTGTTATTTAATTTGATTGAAGATTATTGGCAAAAACTAATTGACTGATCTGACACTACCCGGTATTGTTAAGGGTGCATTTTAAGAATAGGCGTAGAAGGTTAGTATTGTTGTACAAATAAAATCGCTCTTACCTGGATTCCCTTTTTTTGGTTCTATATTGACACGTCGATTCCAGTGGAAAATGATAATTGTGACAGCTGAGTAAAATGGAAGGTTGAATAGGAGGATTAAGAAATCGGTTTCTGTGCTATTGTTAATTTGTGATTGTTGAATAATTCGTTTATTCGTTTATTTACAATCGCCTATATCTAAGTAAAGAAAGGATAAATATCTTTTGGTTGAAATAAAAAAAAATTGATTGAAGATAAATTCGAGGGAACCGTTGGGGGGGGGAGGTTGTGGCAGTTGGGTTTTTGAGTGTGTAGTAATAAAAAAAAAAGTGTCACAATGCCTGTGTATAGTATTGGCTTTGGTTAATTGGGTTTGAGAGTATTTTGACTCTTGGGTATTTTCGAATCACTGATGATTTTTGACTTTTCGCATATTTTGCATATGTATATATATATTTTTGGATTATCGCGTTGCTTAGCCGTCAAAATAAATGTTGATTCGCGATATATGACGGTTTTGGAAAAAGTCTCTGAAATCATTGTCAAATCGAATTGTTATTGCGAGATGTGTGATTGAAAAAAAAAAAGAAATTATTGAAAAGAGTTTTTATGTACAGAATGTTTTGTTTTTCTTTGACAGTGGATGAGGATCGAGTGTGGTAGAAATAAAATTATTTGTGCTTTTCACCCAGCATAATCTGCGCATTCTAACGAAGAATAATAATTCGTGGTAATTTTTTCTTAGGGTGATTTGCCTAGTAGATATGATTTTGTGATCGTAGGTTTTAACTGTATGTATATAGCATATACGTATGTTATACACATAGCACGTATGTTGAGGCGATTATTGATTTTAAAGCTTTCATTTGGAATCTGACGATCGTCTCGACATTTTGCGACATTTTTTTTCTTTAATATCTTAAGACTTAGAGACTAGGATTATTATTACGGCGTGATAGAAATTCCCGTGACTAGATTAATATATATATATTTATATATATACGCGTTTTAGACGCTTTTGCGAATATTGTGCAATTTTTGGTTTCGCGAGTCTTCGTACATACGCGATAGCGTTTATTTTTTCCCTCTAAACTTATTTCGTTAGTCTTATCGCTAGATTTAGGCGCAGATACAGTACGCGAGAGAGTATCTTTTTTGTATTTTTGCAAAAATTGCGAAAACTGGTTTAGTGCGAAGATTCGTCAGTTTTTTTGCATTATTATTTCTCTCTCTCTCTCGAGAAATTTTGGCAACGAAGGGTGGGCGGAGAGAATTTGATTTTTATTCTTAACCACTATTTTCGTTAACCACTGTTTTTTTCAATAAACCTAGCTAAGGATTCTTTTTCTTTTTCTTTACCATCTCCGTCGGTAAGGTAGAACGATCTTTTAGTCGAGTTAAAAAATACTTTACAATATTCCCCTATGCGTCTCATTCGCAGCATACAATTTATAATTTGTTACATCCCCGCGAAATGATCCTCGGACTATTTAATGTCACATAAAAATATACATGTATATATATATATATATATATTCATTTATATATATATGTATATATCTTTTTTATTTTCACAAGGTTCATAGTCGTAACCTGACATTAAATCATTTTTCAGGTGCCATCCCTCAATAGATTCTCAGTAGAAATAAGTCCCCTGAATCCTGACACTCGCGTCGTCACGCTATAACTATATACCTTACGCGTATTTATATTCTTACGTGTACACTAAGCACGCTAATATTTCTCCTTCTCTTTACTTATATACTCTCAAGAAAATACTCTTTACTCTTTGTCATAAAATATTCAAAGGATCAACAGGTTTTTTTTTTTTAAATATCATACGGCGATTTTCATTTTATTTTTGGCATCTCATATAGTCATTGCATCGGTTGAAACTGATGATAATTATCTTTCTCATAGAATATATATGTGTATATATATATATATATATATATATAAATAAATATATATATTTATAACCGATAAATAGAACATTTTCAATGCAGGACAGCGTAAATAAGAAAATAAAAGAAAAAGACAAATCTTTTAATCTTTTCTTTTTCCTTACATTTACATTAAACACTGCGTTAACGACACATTTTCCTATAGCTGCAAAGTTTTGAGACGTATCTTTATCCTTTTATTAAACGTACCCATAATAATACTGTTCTTTGCATCGTATTTTAAATCTCATCAGATTAATCGAAATTGGCTCTCGTAAGATTTCAATCAACGATAAATTATCCACCAACAGTACAAACTTCCGGTTGGTTAAAGGAAGTAGTCAAAAATTTCGATTTCCGGTAGGCATAAGAGTCGCGAAACGCGATCGACTGTGATTTATGTACAATTCGTATATAATATAATTTTACATGGATAAGAAGGTACAGGCGTTGTAAACGACGAGATACGCGAAGTGAAGAGACTAAAGAATAAGGAAAGTTAAATATAAAAGTGAAAGAAGAAAAAGAGAAGCAAGGAAAGTTCATATCGAAGAACTTTTCGAAATACCATATCCCCCGAACGAATTCGAATTAAACCTCGAAGTTCCAGCTGATCCAACAAATGCCAGACAGCTACCGGAAGCTAAAATTGGATGATCATCGGTAATAATTTTCCTGGGAATTGAAAAAGAGAGAGAAAAAAAAAAGAAAAAAAAATAATAATAACACTCACGTCCCAAAAATACACATTTGGACCAATTTGGTCTCGCGTGACAAGATCTGCCAAGGAATTTCTCCTCATTCTGAAATTCCTCGAATGCTCACGGCAAAACTAGGAATCCCCGACAGGATAATCATGAGTTTCCAGGAAATCATCATATACAGTCATTTATCAAGTCGGAGATACTCCTGTTCACCGAGACCCTTATTGCAGGGGCGTATCCGCCATGTCACTCTTGGTCCATCCATTTTGGGCGCTCGAGGTCCTAGACAATTGACTAGGACTCCGAACTGGACTTCTTGCTGGGTAATAGACGCAAGGACCTGGACTGGCTGATCTTCCTATCCCTTTGACACTCTGTCGACTGTTCCCATTGAGGAGGACGTTATTGTTCCTGCTGATGGTCGTATTGGATCTCTGAAGATGGGACCTCCTTATGGAATTACGTAACTCTATGTTGGTTGTATTCGTGGTAACGGATTCGTCGTTCGTCTGAAATTCAGGACTGTCTCTGCCGGGACCGAAGAATCTGTTGCCGCAGAACAAGCGCAGGAAGATCCTTTTGAATTTACGTCCAAATATCACGTAGATTATGAAGTTGACGCTGCTGTTTATGGTCACCATTAAATTTCCCAGCTGGACCATCCAGTTGGGTGGCTGCCCACGAAAATTCTCATAGATGTTGGTAGCGAGGGGCAAGATGTTGCAAATTATAAATACTATCACGACGCAGAGCAACATGACCGCCAAGCCAATTTCACGTCGCTGATGTCGCGACAGATGCTGTAGATCCCGATTGGCTTTTCTGACCTGAGTACAGAAAAAAAAAAAAATTTTTTTAAATTATTTTTATCACACAAAAATAAGAATCGACAGATACAAATTTTTCTATTTTTTTTTTTTTTTCAGTCGCTACTGAATTCTTCGTTCTCTAAGGATGATCGGTAACCTCACACAGCCTCGAATGGGACTCTTGAACAGACTTGGAATCTGGTGTTGGGAACACGTGTTGAAATGAAAATGTAAGTTGGCAAAGGTATTTGAATATTCTTATTTATTCTTCCTGCCATTATCTGACTCTTTGTTCTTCTTTGGCAGGTACACACTGCATTCGGCAACAAGATGTACGTTCTGGTACAACGAGACAACGCGGGAAATTGAATGGCTTCCTTGATCTGTTGGCTGCGTAAAAAATAGCGATTGCTCTCCTGTGAATTGGTCGACGTGGTTCTCCTGTCGGAGCTCGGTATTATTTTAGTGCGTTGGGACGCCTTCGCGGCAGATGAGTGGAAATAGGTTTGTGCGAGAGGTGAAAAAGAAAAAGAGAAGAAAAATGCGCGAGAGAGAGAGAGAGAGAGAGAGAGAGAGGAGAACAGACGACACACTGAGAACAAGAGAACTGAATGAGTAAGCAACGTGAAGAGAAGAAAGCAAAAGAGCAAAGAGTAATATTATACATATATATAACCGTTACTCCCACACGGGGTGTAATGCGTATATGGTAGATGTCATTTTCTCCTTTCTTCTTTTCTTTTTTCTCTTTTTCTCAATCCACGACTTCACCGTTTTACGAGGCAATGAAAGCACGTTCCCTTGTGCGATTAGCATTGGGCTTTTTCTCGTACTTAAAATTTTATGGACGCCCACCGACGCCCGGCGTCGGCATTAATTTACCGTCCGTATACCACTTTTCTACTACGTACTCACCGATTTCTACTTTTTACATACTTCGAATCTTTTTACATGCTCTCTCTCTCTCTCTCTCTCTCTCTCTCTCTCTCTCTCTCTATCTATCTCTCTTACTTTTCTAACCTCTTTCCGCTTTGCTTACTTTTCCATTGCGTCTCTTATCACCGAGATTTACCGCGTTGCCAAATGTCCACTTTGAGAAACTGAAATTGCAATCGAGCACGTGCAATTTATCAGATGTAAATGGCAGAAGGGAAACTGGTCTGCTTGGATAAACGAAAAGAAATTGTACGTCCCAGCTGCTACACTCTTTCTGTTACTGTGCTTTATGTGGATATCTATATTACTTTATATATACTGTGAATACATATGCGAAATATTATACGTACGAATTAAGTAGATACTATATGTACACTCTTGTATTTTTATATTGTTTTTGTGTAGATATATGTGTATATGTATTCATTGTGGGTATAAACAAGTGACGCATATTTAAGTCATTATTCTTTTGAAAAAGCAATAGATAGGAACGCCGTAAGATAGTGAAGGGTGAAATTTCTGTCTGACGAAAGGGTTCACGATAAAGATAAGATATTGGTAAAGGGAGACGCAGTTATATTGAACAGTTATCGGATATAAGTGTTTTCCATCTTCTGATATGTGGTGCCGGTGTAGATAGAAATGGCAGGAGAAAGTGTAGGAATAAAAATGCATATTAATTTTGGGGAGAAAGTTCGTTTTTAATATGCAGTTTTTTGTACCTGGTATGAAAATTCTTGTTTAGTATTTCGATAAACATTTATGCTACTCTGTAAAAATAACAAGTCTATTGTAAGCTGAGGTTAGGTTAGCTACTTGGACCATAATGCTCGCATCGAGACTGTCTGAGCAAAGTATTCCATTTGCCTTTTTCACTTTCGTATGTGGGTCATACGCTGGGTTTGAGACGAGGAGGCAGAAGAGATTTCCTTATTTATTTTTCATAGAATAAACCAAGCGTTACTTGACTTGATAATTGAGGCCAGAGGGGTGAAGGGAGAGGAAGAGGAGAAAAATATGAAGAAAAAAAAGTAATTGAGTGCATGCATTGTTACTGTGACGTAACGTGACCTCGGGATGTTTTATCAGGGGCCACAAACTTATGGGAATCAATGTAAATGAGTCACCTGATATGGGGAGGATGGAAAAAGAAAACTAATCAAAGTTACAAAAAGAAAATGAAAATTGTATTACAAGTGGTTTTTCTTTTTGGATTTAAAAAAATTGTATTTATCAACTGTAATTATAGGAATGTTTCTCACCTGCTGGTATATCGCGTGGTTAAATATAACCAAGAACGCAAATGGCAGCTCGTAGTAGAACACGAAGTACATCCAATTTACTACGGACAGGTAAACCAAATTGGATCTTAGTTGTGTAGGTACGATGCAGTAGATGGTTACGTTATATTTCCAATGTACTTCCGTTTCGAAGTCCACTTCCCAAAATCTAGAATGGCAGGTAAGAATCTTGGCTATGTGTACTGTGACGTTCGCCATGTTTGTGTTGGCTGTTAACGAGCGTTTAGAATTATGTAACTGATGGTTCAGCTTACTTTTGGAGATTATATACAAATGCGAAGAGTATTATGCAGAGGACTGCCAACCGTGCTCGACCGTAGGTGCAGAGTGAACGGGCCCTTAATGGATGACAGACTGCCACGTATCTTTCCATGGTCACTGTCACTGTCAAATAGACAGTGACCATTTGCGTCATCGCTAAGAGCGGGTAGAGGAATTTTACTATTTTTGGATACACCACGAATTTGTAGGTGAAGAAAAATCCAGTGTAGTAGTAAATGGCTGGTAGACCGAAGCAAAGAATCTGTAATGGATAATTAATTAGGATTAAAATTAAATTTTTTAATTAAATATCATACAGCTGTATAGAAAAATTTCTTTACTTTACATTTCTAAGGAATCAAGCTTACATCGTAATTCTTTTATTTATCATACGCCTTTCTTCTTACGAATATTTTTCTTCTGACATTTTCAAAGAATAACATCAAAAGAGAACTCTCAAAGATAGCTGGGTTTATGTTCATCGAGCCGAGACACGAAATTGCTACGAAGATGGACTACGGGAGCATGAAGCGTGAACCTGAGAATTTTTCACTCTGCGAATTCATTTCGTCTCTGCTTCCTCTTTTTTTTCTACCAAAGTGCTTAACATCATTCATGCTCTCTTCTATACGTCTGGGATGATCTTCCTGATCCGAAATTAATCGGCGTCGCGACGCGAATCAACGTGACGAGATAGAAAATTTTGATAAATTTGATAAGTTCATCGCATTCATCTAGATTAATTTTTCTTATTACACGCATTTAATCTATCAGCATCATTTTTTTTCTCAAAAAAATTATTATAATTATCTGATCTAATTTTTTAAGTCTAATTGCAATCTGTCTAGGACGTCCTAGCGGACGCCTGGACGCTGATTTTGTATTAGACGACGTCCTGAAGAAGTCATCTGCTTAACATCGCATTCGTCTAGATTAATTTTTCTTATTACACGCATTTAATCTATCAGGGTGCATCATTTTTTTTCTCACAAAAATTATTATAATTATCTGATCTAATTTTTTAAGTCTAATTGCAATCTGTCTAGGACGTCCTAGCGGACGCCTGGACGCTGATTTTGTATTAGACGACGTTCTGAAGACGTCATCTGCTTAACATGACCCATTAAAAATAATGGCACTGGAAATTACTTGAGCTTATGAATATTATGAAACAATACTAATTTTATGCTGAAGCCACCCTAATTAATATTACATTAAAATTCAAGGTTTGCGACTACCATTATATTTTATAAACTTTAATTGAGTCGTCCCTTAAAAATTTATCGTGGCAAATAAATTCACAGAGCTATTAAACAGAGCAGGAAATAAAATAACTTACCGAAGTTATGATAAGGATCGTATCGCATCTCGCCAAACCGATCAATAGGTAATTTATTGATGATTTCATCTGTGGCCGTGATAAGATGATCATCGAGATGAAATTACCAAAGAGTCCAAACAGGCCAATCAGATTGAGCAGGATGCCGTTCACGATGAATTCAAAGAGGGCGCTCTTTTCCAAGGGACTTTTGCACTCGTAGATCACGGTACCATTGTCGGTAATGTTACCGATTAATTTATCAGTCACGTTATCAGCAAGATAATCGGTCAGATTGCTAATTGCTTCATTCGCTTCCATCTTCTTGAGCTACGTAGATCTTATTAATTAATCTTTCGTCTTAAAACTCAATCGATTAATTCACGTCACTTTTGCATATATTGCTGGCTCAAAATCGCGGAATGAATTACGTATTATTATTATTATTATTACACTTTACATCCAAAAGGGATGAAATTTCCACGCGTTTTTCTCATCTCACCGAAACCAGTACACTTCGTTTTACACTAAGAATACGACACTGGGAGAGGTTAGAACGCGATTATCATTTACGGTTATTAATTTTGCAGGATTAAAAAAAATTTTTTTTTAAATTCCTTCATTGAACATCATCCAAATTATGCGAGCTTTAAATGTAATATTAGCGACGGTTATAATTGCACAGAATATTAAGGGTTGCCTGTAAGGGCCAGAGGGTGTAGAATTGTGAAATATTCAAGCTCCGGTTTTGGGGGATGTCCGAGTGAAAATTCCTCGGATGTATTTTTCAGGTTTTCGAATTTTTCAAATTTTCTATACCCATACAGACTTTTTGGATTTTATTTATCAAATCCACCAGGTACGACTTCATTTTTCCATTTAAATAAATACCTTTTTGTATCTATCTTTTTTCTCAGGTAATCCAAATCGCACTCTTAAGAACTGTTCACTACCTTTTCAATTTATGGGACATTATCGGAGTGGTCCAGAGCGCCATAATCTTCGATTCCCACAATTCACCTTATTATCTCGATTCCACGTAACACGCGGATTGCAGCCACGTTCTCATCTCCCGGAGTTCAAAGTTCACCTGGTGCCAGTGAATCTACACGATAAAGTAGTGTACTCCTTAACGAGATGTCGCTGAGAGATAAAATCCAAGATCGAGCTCCTGGACCCCAGCCTCTTCATGATGTCTCTCACCGACGCCAGGAGGATGCCTGCACGAAATATGATAAGATTTATTGGCAAGATAACAGGATAAAAAACAACGTCAGAAAAATTAAGAGGGACACCGTATAGGACCTTTCTCCCACCCACCCTCTAATCACAAAGAGAGGGACAGCCTCTTCCGTCTTTGGGAGGCTTGACAAACTTTCAAGATTCCTGTCAGGCAGAAATAGATATTGCGAGGTAATAAAAGGAAAATGTCGAAGAAAAAAGGAAAACAAAACTTATCCAGACGTGAAATCCCTTATTCGTGGACATTCAATTAGCTGAACGTTGTGGTCAATCAATTTATCAGGGAACGATTCTCCCCATATATATCATATATATTTCACCCGTACATATGTATATACACGTGTATTTCATATATGTCAATGTAACACGTAACAATGCGTACGGTCGAACAAACACTCTACCAGCCCTCGTAGTCTAGTCCTCGTTTGATGCATCATCGGCTACTGTCATTTAACCCCTATATGTATATTAAATACAACCCACCCATCCTGCCTTCCCATATCTAATTGATCTCAAGAAGTGCTGCTCCTGACAGCGGTTTGACTTTGCTGACACGTTAAAGCCGCTTTAAGAAGCTGCTATCATGTCTTACGCAACACGTTCATCCCTTGAGCATCTTCAAAGCTAGCTGGCAGCTTTCAAGGTTAACGATTATGCCAAACCACATTATATCAGCCCTTAGGGTTGTAAGGGTGATAACGAACCCCCTACAGTGACGTCATTAAGCTGCGCACGATGTTCCTGACGTTCGTTAAAACAAAAAAAAAAGATAATTAAATCGGTTGCGAGGTTTGCGAAAATTGGGAAATTTTTCATGTTTACATTTTTTTGAAAAATTATTTGACTTTGATTATGGCAACTTTGAAGGAATGCTGGATCGTTAATATTCTGTTACGCGAAAACGTATTTGTACGGTCGTTTCGCAATTTTGCGAATATTTACGTCAAAGTTGAGTGACTTTAAGCGTAGCGCTGGGAAAGTTGCAAATTTTTTTAATGACGCGAGTATATCCGTTGCTTGTACACATTTTTTTTTATCTTTTATACAGAATACCCGTGACTCCTGATTTTATTCGTACTACGACCGACAGCGGCTGCTGTTGCAATTTTCGTTATTGGAAAATATGCGAAATCTTATGCACACGTGCACGTATGCAATAAATGTATCTAGGGATATTCCATAGGGAATTTTATTAGGGTAACGTATAGTCGGTATACGTAGATCAGTCGCGTGATGAAATAAATAATTCTCAATCGTTATCCTGATTTTTCCTATGAGCTGATTTTTCGATTCAAGGTCACAAGGCGAGTTCATAGTTATCGGGCAACTTTTTTGCTTTCTGCCTCCCTTCGAGTCAATACTCTGATCGAAAGCTACGTTCCCGGGTTGATCCGTACAGTTACGCCGATGCTCTCGGAATTATTTGGTATTGTTGAGTCGAGATCGAGATGCTGGAATCTCCTGTGGAGAAATCGTCTCGAGGTACCGAGTTACCCGGCAGAGTAGAGGACCCGACGGAGACGTCTCCACGGACCGGCTGAAATACCGGCGCCCCGCTGAAGAGAGGCAAAGGGCTGTAGAGCGGGCGGAAGTACAGTTTTGGTACTGTCAAGGCCAGGTGAGGATTACCCTGACCCGAGTTGAGGACATGGTGCCCAGCTATTGCCCTATGGCCTGAGGAAGCTGCCGTGGAGAGATAGTCTCGAGGTACCGAGTTGCCCAGCAGAGTAGAGGACCCGACGGAGACGTCTCCACGGACCGGCTGAAATACCGGCGCCCCGCTGAAGAGAGGCAAAGGGCTGTAGAGCGGGCGGAAGTACAGTTTTGGTACTGTCAAGGCCAGGTGAGGATTACCCTGACCCGAGTTGAGGACATGGTGCCCAGCTATTGCCCTATGGCCTGAGGAAGCTGCCGTGGAGAGATAGTCTCGAGGTACCGAGTTGCCCAGCAGAGTAGAGGACCCGACGGAGACGTCTCCACGGACCGGCTGAAATACCGGCGCCCCGCTGAAGAGAGGCAAAGGGCTGTAGAGCGGGCGGAAGTACAGTTTTGGTACTGTCAAGGCCAGGTGAGGAACACCCTGACCCGAGTTGAGGACGTGGTGCCCAGCTATTGCCCGATGCCCTGGGGAAGCTGCCGTGCAGGATCTCCAAGAATCACGTACCGATTCGCTAAGGATTACCAGCTATAAGGATCTCGACCAATCAGAACGATTCGTTTCCCGAATTTGATTATTGTCGATTGACGGCTTTAAAGCAGTCTGTCTTGGGACACCGATCGGGGTGCCTCGCGCTACCGGGCTGTTTGGTGACAGTTCTTCTAGCCCTGTTTACTGTACGATACAAAAAATTTTCGCTCGTGTATTTCTCACAGTATCCAGAAAATCCTAATGATTTTCTGCGTGCTTTCCGGAAGTGCAGTGTTGTGCTCTCGACCTTCGCGGATCAGCTCACCAAGCGGTGAGTACTCCGAATTTATTAATTGGCGGAGGGATTTTTATTTTATAGCCACGACTCGGTCTGCTATGGAATAACCCCCTCTAGCTTAACCCAGCAGCCTGAGCGGCCGTGCGTTTCCGTAACCGTCCGGTCCAGTTCGCGTATGCTGATTTTCCGCGATCCAAAAGATCAGCACCTACGATTAGGTTTCTCGATTTTACGCGTCCCCAAAAAATCGAGAATCATATCGACTCGTCAGTTCCCGGTGAAAAAATAATTGGCTGCCGTCGGCCTGACGTGCCGGATGCATGGACGAAGGGCGGACGGCCGAAGATGACGTAAGTTAGCTCTTGGATTTTTGTCATCGGCGTCGAGTTAAAAAAATACGTCACATAATATATATGTGTACACTATGTTATAAATTTTTTAGTGTGACGTCATAGACCATAGAAATTCCACGTTCTATAGACACGTCGTAAGCTGTTTCCATTTAAACGACAAAATAGAAGCATATAAAACCAGTAGTCGGGTCTTGACGTTAAGTGACTTATAGCTGCGGCGTCGCGACGACTGGCGTCGACGGTATTCATTGAATGAAATAGTTTCCAGTACTTCTCTGAAAATTTCAAGGAACTCGCGTATACAACGTATTAACGTAATTGCCGTAGAAGATACAGAGTCACGTGGTCTTAACGAAAGAAGCGCTAAGACGACGCCCGGCGTCGAGGTGCCTAATAACCTAATTAACGCTCTAACGAAACAAACTCGTTAAAGTCTCACGGAATTTCCCAATAGGTCGAAAGACTAAGAATAATATAAACGTATACTGAAGTCCACCACGGAAATTTTTTTACGAACGATTCTTCCTGCATCTTCATATAAAATCGACACGCGTCGTTTCACTCGAATTTCCAAATAATTTCGCGAAAACTATTTGATAAGGGCCAACGAGTCACCATTTACGAAATCCCAATTTTTAAAAAATTTTTACCATTAATTAAATATATTTTGCAAAATTCAATGTACACAACTATACATATATATACTTAAGTATAAAATATTCAAGCTATAAGTAGTTTCGGTTAGATAAGTCGTGGTGTCTTGTTAACGAGAATTACAGATTTAAATATAATATATATATATATATATATATATATATACCCGATATAGAAAGATGTGCCAAAATAGCGAAATGATACGAAGATTATTTCGAGCTTGTCTCAGTCGCCGCTTATCCCATTTTCTCTATTATTTTCTCACTCTTTCCTCTCTCCCGTTCCGTCTCTCTCTCTCTCTCTCTCTCTCTCTCTCTCTCTCTCTCTCTCTCTCTACCTCCGAAGAATAAGTCCCTCGCACCGAGATCATTCTAAGGTAGACCTTACGCACGACCCATTTTGGAAATAGACCCTGGTGGCTCATCAAAAAGATGTCGGCGATAGGATGAACTTGAACGGCCGACCGCTTGGCAACGTTTACGATATTCCTAGCCTTTCTCACCTAAACACATTTTCCTCTTTACTTAATTTCTTCCTCCATATGTATATGCAAATGGCCCGTGCAAGGAGCTCTTGGAAATTTTCGAAATTGCGAATAACGGAGAGTCAAAGAAAATACATATATATATATATATATGTATACCTATCTTTCAACGTAAATGAAATCTACCACTAGGCCTCAATGACGCTGTAACTATATATGATCATAACTATAGTAAGCTGTACCAAAGTGATTAGATATAATCATAATATTACCCATCACTTTGCGGAAAGCTTCGTCTAAATATTCTTTAAAGTTTTGTAAACTGTTTAGGCTCTTACGAATGAGACGGCAGCTTTTAAATACTTGCGGTATCTTTACTTTATCGCTAGTCGAGAGATTCGAATTTTCGGGACTTGGGAAAGATTTGAGAATTTTTTTTTTTCTTTTTTCTTTTTGAATACCGGTTATTATTTTTGAACGCTCCCTTGATTAGATCTGCTCTGAGTGATTCGAATTTTATTAGGCGTTTCCTTCTTGGATATAATATATATAGTCCAGTATATATAGTACTGTATTGTATAGTGCTGACTGCGGAGAGTGTTGCGAGTATAATTAGACGGGATGACTATAGTAGTCTCTAGGAGTAGATACGTACAGTTACTAGTCAGCCAGACACTATAGACATATTCTTAGAGCAAACTCGATGACGAAAGGAACAGCTGACCATTTGCCAGAGCCTGGATATATATGTATGTAGGGAGCGTTTCAACAGGCATTGAATACAGTAAAAGGGAGGTTTTTTAAATTTTTCTTTTATATATATATATATATATATATATATATATATACAGGGTGTCCCAGAACTACTTTTGGACCGGAAAGTGGGCGATGGCTGGAGGTGCCCTGAGTACCCTCCCGCAAACCGTTTGCCAAAATTCGCTATAGTTTTTAAATGAGAAGCATTTAAGTGCGACCAATCAGAATGAAGGATTTCCGCGGATTCATTCGCGGATGCCAAAGATCGCTGCTTTGCAATAGCTTCCCACAAATTCCGCGCTTAGCAATTGTTTCATAGCCCGAGCGAGCGTCATAGGTTTCGTTGACAAACTCCCAATATGGGCATGGGCGTGACTTAGGCTGGCGCAGCAGCTACACGTGCAACGCGCGATCGGCAATTGTTTCGCGATATGCATTCAGCCCGACAAAAACCGGTACACGGTGTCCAAAACGTCATGCACTGAAATTTATAGCAGTCCGGAGGAAAACAGATTATTAAAGTAAGAGGGAGTCGGGAGGGTGGGTGGTGGGACTGATGGATTAAATTTAAAATGAATTGAAAACTAAGCATAGAAGTATTATTTTTTCGTCTTATCGTATCGAATTTCCAAGACATCGCGATTGCTGATTTCAAAGTTATAGAGTACTCATCGATTCTGGAGACTGTAAAAAATACGTAAATAGGAAAATAGATTAGGAGCGAAACGCAAAGACACGTATCCCTTTTTTTCGTCCCAAGAATCGGTATTTTCAGTGCATGACGTTTTGGACACCGTGTACCGGTTTTTGTCTGGCTGAATGCATATCCCGAAACAATTGCCGATCGCGCGTTGCACGTGTAGCTGCTGCGCCAGCCTAAGTCACGCCCATGCCCATATTGGGAGTTTGTCAACGAAACCTATGACGCTCGCTCGGGCTATGAAACAATTGCTAAGCGCGGAATTTGTGGGAAGCTATTGCAAAGCAGCGATCTTTGGCATCCGCGAATGAATCCGCGGAAATCCTTCATTCTGATTGGTCGCACTTAAATGCTTCTCATTTAAAAACTATAGCGAATTTTGGCAAACGGTTTGCGGGAGGGTACTCAGGGCACCTCCAGCCATCGCCCACTTTCCGGTCCAAAAGTAGTTCTGGGACACCCTGTATATATATATATATATATATATATTTATATTCTCCATGTCGGATATTTGGTATGCAGTTTTATTATCCTTGTATCGGGCATAAGGAACGGCGTGAGGGATTTTGAACTTCTTTCCTCAACTTTTCTTGGATAATAAAATATTATCGCCTTGTGGAGGAATGGACAAATTTTTTTCTCGGAAAATATTATATAGGTTATTGTGACTTTTCCTTAAAAAAGAAAAAAAAAGGTTGCATACAAAAATATCGAGTGACGTTTATACGACGTTCAGCATTCCCCCTGCCCCTTCTCCATCCGTCATTTCCTCGTGTGCAACCGCATTTTTTTTTTTTATTTTCGTTATTTCACTTTTTTTTCGCGAATTCGACAATACTGCAAGAGTGAGCGAAATTTTTGTTTTTAAAAGGTTTCCTACGTCTTTCTCCAAAATTTACATGATTTAGGTGGCTCTTCGTTTGCCTATGTTAAAGCGCGGTAATTGGAGCACAAACATTTTTTTTTTATACAAGACACTGCTCTTTTATATCCACCGTTCATAAAAATCACGTAAAGCACGAAGTTTTTGCGAAATAAAAAGAAAATATTTTTACGCAACGGATTGCGGATAAAATTGTTTCAAAAATTTGTATCGCGACAATATCGATTCGCGAAATAAAATAATCGAGGCTTTATCCGTCCGTTCGCGTTTTTGTCAAACTTTTTGAAAGGAAAACACGTTACGCGTCTGAGGCAAAGGGGCAAGGTAAAAAGCTCCTAAGCAGCTTCGAAGCTTACAGGGATTTATCGTGTATCCAGCGTTTATAGAAAAAAAAAAGGAAAGAAAAAAGAAAAATTGGACTTTCGTTCAAGATAAATCCTACAGAATTAAATGCCTGGTATTGCAATACAATGGGACTCGAAATAAGATAACTCATGCTATTTTCAGTAAAAAAATAAGCTCCGCAATAAAATTTCGAATTCCCATCATAGTCAAACTCACATATTCATTAAATTTTTCCCGAAACCACCAAAACGTCAAATTCACTTTCGGTTGATATTGCCCCAAAAATTTCGTCCGTTCCCCAAAAGCTTCGATCACTAATACTCGGATTTCTAACCTAATCTCCTACGCACGCGCCGTCGCGCATACTTCATTTCATCCCCTGACGAAAGCTTTCGAATCGTGTAACGATTGCCAATGTAACGTCGAATTGTAACTTTGGCGAGTTTAATTTTCTTCCTGTCACGTTTTCGTTTCTTGTTTGTCTATCAACCAACGACGAGTCAGATGCTAACTGAATGGTAAAGAGAAATCCCTAAGGTTGGCCCCTCTTAATCCGGAATAACTAAGGATCGTTTTATATCCCTTATAAAAGGTGATATACGACTTTCAGGTAAAATTGAAAAATTAGCAAGTTCACTTTTCTTTATCAAAATCTTATTACTTTTTTTTTTTCATACTTTCTTTTTTCATCTACTTTACTACATTTCTGATTTCTGGATTCTCTCCTGGGAGATAAATGGGTTGCGTTACTTTAAGTGTATATAGGTATAACTAAGATTCAGATGGTATATAATCTCTAGCTATCTTATGTACGATATATATATATATACATATTCAGTACGTAAAAGAAACCCCTTATTCTCTTGTTCGTACTATATGTATATCTGATAAACCGCACTTTACATGCATAGGACGTTGAGGCCAGATAGTGGAGACGCTTTAATGCATCAGCCAGAAGAAGGCCACTGTGCAAAATGCAAAGGAGGATAATGATTAAAAAGAGAGGGATAGGGGAAACAATAGAAAATGACGTAAAACTCTTGAAGGGAATAGAATGAAATTCTAGGGAGGGATGGCGACGGTAAATCCCTTTATCTTGTATAAGATAATGAAATGGGAGATAAGAGATGCTGTTTAGCGAAGATTCCAATCTCGAAGGAGACAACAAGACATGGCTTCGAGATTCTTAAGAGAATTGAATCCTTTATATCTTTTATTGAATTTGTCCGTTCGATGAGATACAAGAAGATACTGTTGATTAAAATAGTTGAGAAAAAAAAGAAAAAGAAAAAACATATTTTTCCTTCGAAATAATTACATTGGGCGGCTCTTCTGTAAATTGGTAAATTTTTGGGAAATTTATTGGCAAATTACGTAAACGTTATTTGATGTCGCCCAGGTGACACAGAGAGCTTGGTTATTGTGAAAAAGTGGAAATTGACTAAAACTAATTTAACTGATCTCTCAACCGTGATGACGGCCGAGTAGTCGAGATCGGTTGACAGATAATAATCCGCTGGACCATTTAACTGATCTTAATAATTTCAGTCAGTTTTCGAGTTTTATTTTGCATATTTTTGAAAAATTTTCTACCCGTTTCCGGCCAGTCCGCCGCCATTTTGATTATAAAGTGAGAACATAAATCAGACGCTATGCGAATTCTTTTTCTTCTCTTATGATTTATTCTTTTCTCCCTTCGGATTAATCCTCGTGCAATTCTTGTTAGGTTGGGTCAGGTAGGATGCAAAAAGGCTGTGCGAAATTTTCACGAAAACGTAGGAAATTTTCGTCCGAGTCTGATGTCATTTCGCACTGAAAACAACTGACTGTGGGCGGCTGTTACGTGTCAGGGAATCGTAGGGGTGGAATATGTAGGTCTTACGTACGATTACACATGTGTGACGTAACGTTGAATTAAAATTTTTTGTATTTCTCAAACTTTCGATATTCACCCGACTTATGTACTTTGTCTGGAATTTTGGGTTTTTTTCAAATCAAAATTTTTAGTCTACATTTTTTTTCTTGTCTTGCAAATTTCTTGCTTCCATTTTACTCGCATGTAATAATACCTGGGTGCAAATTTTTGCTTCGGTTCTCTTTGAGGTTTTTTTTTTCAATGATTATCATACACAATCCATAGCAATCATGTGTGGTATGACATTCGATATACGATTTAATGGTTTTCGTTATTTTTCTTCACGCGAGATTGTATCAGGTATTGTGTATCTTATTATCATAGAAACTAATGTATTCTTGTACGTAGATATACCCGATGGGATTCGTGAAAAATTGGTGTATTTAATTCAAAATATTAACAGCATAGGGAAAAATTACACTTTATCCCATACGAATTAAAATAAAGAATTAAAATCTAAAATCGTAACTACTTGATATGGTAAATAAATTTTTTAATTAAAAATTACTTTACACACTGTCTATTAAACGTGTATACGCAATTACGTATTGAATTTAGTTGAAGTAAATAGCATCTACGTTAAACATACGATATCTATTTTTATATTATCTTAAAAATTCCACATGACCCGTACCTGCCCGATTAATGAAAAATAAATGAACTTCGCAATACTTCGTCTAATGGGCAAAATCTCCCTAATGAACTCCGCTCGTGTAAATAAAATTTCATTAAATTCGATACTTACGAGCGTATGACGCGCGTATCCCAATAAACGGCAAAGAGTTTCCAAAAATCCGAGAATTTTATTTATTAGGATCAACAGCTACAGGGGTGACATCCTGTGTCTGGTCAGACGTCCCTTTAATCCAGCGTAAAAGCAAGTAAGTAGATGCAGGGCAGAAACGGCCAGACGGCAAACCGGCGACGGCTACTCGAACTGTATAGCCAGCCAGAAACACGACAGGCAGCAGCTCTTTTGGATTCAGTATAAATAAAACAGTAAAACCACGTCACGGTAATATTATGTGCCAAAAGATATCCCCTCGATTCTCATGAATAAGATTTTTCGTTCTTCGGCCAACCCCGTTTAACACGAATTTTGAGTTTTTTTGTGTAACAAGCGATTTTTCAAAATCACCTCGGCAATGAGAGTCGATTCACGGCGAATTATTATTTGTTACTTTATAACCGAACACCTTGACAGCAGATACTTATTGATTGTTTAAATAAATAAATTTATTTATTTTTTATTGTCTTGTTTTTCTTTATTTGGTTAAAAAAAGATTTTCTTATTTCATTAAAACGCGAAAAACGGACGTACTTAATCCGTCAATTACACAAACGGTAATACCTAAAGGTTCACCCGCATGCTTAAAACTTTTTTTACATAATCTTCTGGCTGTCTGGGCTAAGTCCCTTATGCCTGAGGGGGCAAAGGGGAAATCCAATGACGAAATGTTACTTGTCACTCGGTTAAAGGCGGCTCCCCATTGAAACTGTGTCTAGGAGAATACACGACTTCAGGCTGATTTTCAGCTTTGTCTTCTTCCGTTGAATTTTATTGAATTAACTAGCCCCCTAATCACAAAGTCCCATATCTTCCTTGTTCTTAGTTTCAAGGAGACCTAAAGCTCAGTCGTGCCGTTCGATTGGGATATGGAGAAGGGTCCGGTAAAATTAAATGAAAACCAGCCATGGGTTTTTGCCTCGTAACCGAAAGAAAAAGAACATCGTCAGCGATTGTGGTACAAGAAAGACAAAAAAAAAGTCAAAATTTTATTAGCCTAATTTTTTTTCTCAAATTTTCACCGCTCACTTGTATTGGAAATTTGAAAAACTTTTTCACAAAATCCTTCGTGATTATCTTTCTTCTCGTATTTTCTTTCCTGCCGGGTTAATTCTCGATGATTTTTTTTTTTTTCTAAATTCAACATCCACTTTTTATTTTATTTTTTTTTTTCACCAAAAATGTTCACTAATCTTTGTGTTTTGCAAGATCACACCAATACTCTTGCCAACTGCACGGCTGACTTATGTAACTTTTCCACGCTCGTCGTTTTCTCCATGTTTTTTAAAACCTTTTTTTTTAATACGAACAATTTTGAAAATGTCCCGCGCGCGGGTCGTCGCGCAATTTCGAAGCGCTCGTCGCGCGAGACGCACTGAGCTCCGCGATTCGCCAAGAGAGGAGTCGGAGTGTCAGGACGGACCTTGGCAATGAGTGCCGCCTGCGCGTTAGTATATTCTACGTTTCGACACGAAATCCACCACACGACATAGAACCTTTTGACACTAACGTCACTTGTGCCGAATAAAAAATCCTACAGGATCTGCACGTAGCAGTGTAAAGGCAAAAGACATAAAAATTGTTTTCAATAAATTAAAAGACGAATCTTCATTTTTTTTTAACGTGTTTCACAAGCCTCGCGCATCGTGCTGACAAGTATAAATGAAGTTTTTGAAAAATACCCTAGTCACGCGAAACACGTTTTTTTTTTTTTTTTCCCTCGAAAATATTTATCTCTGCTCGCAAAAGTAATTTCAATTAAATTTTCAAACTTGAAATTACACATTCTTTCAGTTTAGCAAGTCAAGTGGTGAAAATATTATTCTGTTTGAAAGTCCCTTCCGCGTGGTATTTCGAGTATAAAAATACCCGAACATTGATCCTAGCTAAATCTACGAATTCCGAAAAGAAACCTCGTCCAGGATTTTTTTTCAAAAATAAGTTAACGTATCAAAAAAAAACACTCAAGAAAGATTTCAATGGTGATTAAAATCACATGATACTCCTTCGGAAGTTAGATCTTGTTTATAAAGGAGTATCAACTTTTTTTTTTCCAAATCTTGTTGAAAGGAACGAAATTCTATTGAAGCCAGAATGAAAATATATGCATTGTAAGAAAACGACCGAATATCCCATCTAACAAGAATCATAGTATATATATATATATATATACATTGTACATATACAGACTGACACATTCAATACACGCTCTCCACGCAATTAGGATACAGTATAACAATTTTCTGAAACGCCACGCATAAAAACCTGACCTAAGTGCAAAGGCGTGCTCACCCGTTAAATTGTGCATACCTTAAAAGGATCCCCCGCAAAAATTTCCAGGGAATTCGCATTTCTGCGTGAACTGGGTGGGCAGCCGGTGGGGGGACGATTACACGTAGCGTAGGTGACGTGACGTAGCCATAAAGGGTATTAAAAAAGTGAAATTTAAAAAAAATTGATAAATCGGTGAAATTCGAAAAGGAACAAATTTTCAAAATTCTCCCAAAATTCTTCCTTGAGTGCGTCAATTGCATATACCTCACGTATATACAGTGCGATCGATTAAATTATCTTGTTTCACGTATTCCATCCTTATCTCAGTACGCGATCCTGATAAGGTCCATTCAAATAATCCACTTCCGTTTTCCGTATAAATCTTATCGTTCAGTGCTTCGCTTATTTCTATCACAGTCAAATATCCGTATCTGTCATACGACGTTGATAAGCACGATGTTACATAATTATTTATACTGCATAATAGTTGAGCCATTGTATCCAATGATAACGTACAGCGTGGGTGAACAGGGCATTCTATATGAATTCATACGCACGCTGATAACGTTCAGCACACAATACACCGGTCCAGTATCACGTACGATACATATGAATTTATAGACGTTGATATGACGCCAAGGTAAATGTTACTACTTAATGTAAGAACGACGATAACGGATGTCGTGTATATTATTTAATCGACGTCCGACGTCGCGACGAGCCTCTAACCATGAAGGATAGTCACGGTTTCGAAAGGTTAAATTATAATGGATACGTAACGAGAGTAAAGTAGTCTATTTTTATGGGTTAGAAGATATTTGACCTGACTGTACGTTTAAAAGTTTTTTTTTTTTTTATTTTTTCGAACACCCTTTATACATTTTACACAGGGTACAGAATGTTCCGGTAACGTCGATCAAGCGATAATTCTATAATAATTAATAAACGTTAAGTACGTAGTAAGAACGACCCTTTGTAATTCATCTCTATGTGCTTTACCCAGCGTCCTTTAATTCGTTGTGTTATCAAGCGGCTTTCGAATAATCCGGAACGACGATCCTCGCGTGCCTGAAAATTCGTAATCAGGATAACAACACGCGTGATCATCGACGGCCATTACCATACGTTGCCTTTGTCTTGCGTTACTGGGTGATTAAATTTTAATTATAATTACGTCACGTCTGCTCCCTACGTTCTACGGACGCGTACCGAGTGTTTACGTATACTTTTGAAATTTGCAAATGACTCTTGCTGAAAAACGTTTTTGACACAGTCTGCCAGCTTCCCGAGCCACCCCTATCTAGTGGTACGTTTCAACCCCTTGGCTAAGGGGTACTCGTAGTGAATCAGTAACGTGCTCAGCCAGCCAACCCGGAGCCGGATTTCAGACAGCCCGGAGCCGGTAGATAGTCACGGTGGCAATCTCGGCAGATCTATATACGCAGCATCCCTCTCGTCTTTGGGATTCCTCCGGAAAGCATGTAAAATTGATTAAGGGATGATTTGAGGGGGATGAGAATATATTTTTTTCTTCGCGGAATTCCTACGGATTTTTTTGTAAATCTTCGGCTGGACCAAACAATTTTTTTCAGAGGGATCGAGATGAAGTAATTGATCGGGGAAGGAAAATCCTATTGGTTGAAATTTTATTGAGGGCGGGGGTAGCTCTGAATAATTAATACATCCCGTTAAAATATTTGATCGTTGAATCTTGATCGATTATTGATTTTTTATTTTTCAATTTCACGCGACGTTTACTTCGATTGGACATTTTTTTCACGTACAGCGTATATATATGGCATATATACTTTTCACCCATTCGCCCCTTTTGGATTCGAAATGCCGTCGGATCAACATTCGACAAATGAAGTTCCGCTCGTGCATGAGAATACGAGAATCGTGAGAGCGTGGGTACGAGATATTAAGACAGTCCGATGTGTCTTCCCATTTTTCAAATGTGAAAAATGGTCTTTCCCTCTTTTTTAGTTCTGCTTTTTTTTTTTTTTTCTTTCGAAAACTACCCTCGCAACTACCGTCGCGCGTTCTACGTCTACTTTGTATTCCTTTCAAATGAAATACTTGTTGTACGTTACGTCGATGTACTGTACTTAACAATGTATTTGTTTTTTAATTTTTTTTTTTATGAAAAACATTTTTCACTCATATGTAACACATGCCGCTCGATACGTAACACGTGTGCCTTGCGTACGTGACAATTGTTCGAAACTAAATAGCTTGGCGCTTAGCTCTACGGCTTTTTGTATATGAGCTCAGAGAACGAGATGAAATTAGTATATAGTATCGTTGCCTATCGAAGCGCACGTATCGATTATCCAATACGTTTCCAAACAAAAAAATATCGATTGCATTGTGGATGGTACCTTTACCGGAGGTATAAGTCAAGAATATCTGGGTATCGATTTTATATTAAAAAAAAAAAACTTTGCCGAGACCCTGCACGTCGCTATTGATAATAGCCGTTTCAAGGTTTTCCCTGACTGAACTAATGAATTTGGAAACCATTTCATAAAAAAAAAAGTCGAAAAATTTCTAACAAGTATTTGTGGACGCTCGATTTCAAATAAATCTCATGACCCCCACGTGGCTCCATTTCGGGAAGATCGAATTGCGATCGAAATTCGCTGAAGATTCTTTTCGGCTTTATACATCGCGTGGGAAAAACCTTAAGACGGGTTGAGATGCTGCGGCGAAAAAGTTTCAGCAACAATGCCTCATGAGGGTGTAGTCAGGAGCAGGATCCTCCATCGAAGGGTGGACCAAGAAAGAAAGATTACCCACAATTCACCAGAGAGGATTCCTCCACGGCGTCTTCCTGGCGGCTCTCGACTATCGATTTACGTTTCATGTTCTGACGTCGTAAAGTCTCTCTCCCTTGATGAGGGCGTATTTTCAATTTCTACCCAAGATGTTCAAACTCTGACGCTTATGGTTTTCCAAAACCCCCTTTCCCCCCTAGACAGCAGAAACTACCCCTATACAATTTGTACGTAAGCCAGGCATCGCGAATAGTTTGTGGATATCAATGCGTTAATATATATATATATTCATGTTCATGTTCATGTTCAGCCATTGCACGATTTTGCACATTCGAAAATCTCCCCCTATGAATCTCGGGTTAATGTACCGTGACTGCCTTTCCCACATGCACGTGTAAAATTACCCAACAGCCGTACAAACACTGGGCAAATATTTTTTGCACAACAAGACGCAAAACAATAGCGAGCGATTTTCTGTGGAAGGAAATACATTTGATATATATATATATATGCATTAGCCGTAACATTATTTACGAACAGCGAGCATTAAATTCCAATCGGTACACTCGTTCGCAAAAACATAACGCAATGTGATTAAACGCTATTCACGGTAAAGAAAAATTGCGCCAAAAAGACCCCGACCTAACCCCAATTACGTAACTACGAAACGAAAGAAGAAATTGTCCCCGAAACAAAGCTAACCTAAATTTTGGACATGATAACAAAAAAAAAACACGCGTCCCGAAAATGTCTGTAGTTACCCTGACCTACATTTAGGTAATCCTGGGTAACTACGATTCCGGGAAAAGTCCCAGCACATTTACGAGCATCCTCCGAGAATTTAAGGACGGTTAGGTTAGGTTAAAAAAGCTTAGTCAAAACGTTCGCTCGCAAGTAGTAATGCGTAACTTTGCTGGAGTCGAAAGTTAAAACGTATACGGTCGCTTTGGATATGTCAAAGGAAACCATAAGAAACGCAAGCGGAAACTTGTTGACATTGTTTTCACTTACGGTTCGATTGTTGGAGCAAATATTATAGGAAGCGTGGATCGGCGAGTCGGGGTAATAATTAAATCGCTGTTTTATCTCGCGATAAGGTTAGTGTACGGAAAACGTTTAATTTATGGGAGTCGAGGTAATTGATTAATTAGTACAGACTGACTAGATTACTTGTAGTGCAGATTCAGCCCTAATGAGCTGCTTTAACGTCAACGAACGGTCGTTTTACTTGCGTCATTCCTTGGAGACGCGAATAACGTCTTAATCGCATTTAATCGTGACTGTGGCGCCATCTTGGATTTTAAGGTTGCTTCAACTAGGATTAATTAAGGCG